TTCCTTTGGTTTGCTGCCATTCTACTGTCCTGATAATTACAGCTCTGATAAGCATGTCTGGTTTTGGAACAACGCAGACTTGGCTGACCTCTCACAGATGAGAGAACATTTGATTGTTTAGCTAGAGGCAACCATGTTAATATTAGCTAGTTAATATTCATCACATTATGATAAAGTTACTCATTTAACAGCTCTCTAACCACAGCACCATCATTCATGTTGCTCTTGCTTGAGAGTATCTTGGATGAAAATCTTTCTGTGCTCAGCACATACGGAGCCCCGTAAATGTTCCTGGCTAAGCAAAAGAAGACCATTTAATTGCTGCGTACATGTCACTGCTCCACTCAATCACACATCTCATCCATCTTCTCCCCACATGCTAAGCTAGGGGACAGGGAGCAACAGTGGAATTAAGCCCATTAGGATAATTCATTTCCCATGGCAGGCCCAAATGAGATTTATTAATAATGTGGTAGCTGGGTCCAAAAACAGCTCTGCCATGACAGAGATTGAGGAGGCCAGTCAGATTAAGCTGAAAAACTCGCCACAGGCCTCACACTGTTTCCAATGAGCATTCCCAGAGATATTGTAGAGCCAATAAACGGAAAACGTATTCACTTGTACTCAATATGTGTAGTACACTATCACACCGATGTATGAACTCCATATATTGATTCACTCCCAAGGATACAGCAAGCAATTCATCATTTCTATAGAGTGCTACACATTTTGAACACAGCTATAAATCACGGTGTGTAATTGCCCACAGCAGGATTCTTCTTTTCATCTGGTACAGTATCAGCTGACAGATTACTTCTAATTCATACCTGTGTTTTCCTGTTTGTGTGACAGAGTAGAAACTCCCCCGACATTTTGGCACTGGTCTGCATTTACCTCTCTGCATTTCAACTAACCTCCTGTTGTTTTTTTTTTTACTCTGTTTAAAGTGACATGTCTGAAAAGATAAAGAACTTTATGTTCCGAGTTTCTGCCCTTCATTGAACAACCGGGTAGTCATCTTTTAAGTACTACCAGATCCACAGATGATGACTTTTCAAAATATTTCACACAAGAAATGACAAAGTGAGTGCGCTCTGTGGATATGAAGCTTACCAAATGTTCAAAACTGTGTGACTGGCCACACCTACAACATCTCTGAACAAGCATACGCAATACCACAGATGCACACACAAACACTGACTGTCCAGCAGATGTTCTGCCTGAGGTGAGTACACAACAACACAACACTAGCCAATGTATGATCTCATCAATTCATGTTTGTTAGCATCTGCACAGATGTGTTACAAAACAAAACCATCTGCCATTTGAAAAGGTCACAGTCATTTAACCTTCGCCCTGATCACACCAGTTTCAGAAATGGAACAACTATGGCTGCTTTCAGTGCTGGGATTATTCTATTATTCTGCTATGGCTACCATTCAATGGCAAAAGGGGAAAGGGATACTTTAACATATGTATATGGCAGAATTTTCTGTGAAATTTGTTCTTCAATCTCTTGTGGGCGTCAGATTGAAAAACTTAAAATGGTCTCAAAGATTGACAGAAATCTTCAAATCTACAAAGGACATACGATCTCGCTCAAGTTGTCTGCCATCCATCTTAGCGCATGAGAACAAGAAATCTGTCTCCTTTCTGAAGTTGTAAACCTCAGTGAAGATGCTCCAGTGATGGGAATGAACATTTTTTGGTTATCCAAATAGTTTAGCCTAGCAAGAACCCCCTCTTTCAGCTCCCTAACAACTCCTAAAGCTGTTTTTAGTGCCAAGTCCTTAGCTACAAGTACGGCACAAATGGTAATGTTGAATAAAACTGAAACAGAGGTGAAAGCTAAAAAATGTTGAAAATTAATTAAAAAGTCATTCTGATAATGGACCATTAACAGAAATAATTAACCTGTGTAATAATAATACATCATATCGTGGTATTCAGCCACCCTAAGTCCCCACAGGGGAGTTGCCTCACCCTGACATCCCTTGTAAAATGAGAGCTCATAACAATTAAATAACCCTTGACAAACATGCAGAGTCTTTTTAGCCAAGATGGCAAGTGTACAGTATGTGGCAGTTTAAGCTGCACTGTCATATAGATGTCTCCTTCACCACTGCAAGTCTGCTAAAACACCAGGTAGAGCATTGCTCAAAAACACTCACGGATGCATAAGCATGTAAATTTCTGTAGGACTGATTTTAGTCACAGGGCAGAGAAAGAGCGAGATATAAGGACTGTAAGAGAGGGAGAAAGAGAGAGAGATGGAAATATGGGGTGAGATCTTAACACTGCTGTGTGAGTTAAAGTTGACAAGTGATTGCATGCTGATGCAAGTAGCCTTTCCACTTCACCTCAGCGTTTGAACCTGGCAGCACCTTTCATAATTTATAACTCCAGCAGAGCCAGTTTGCCACTTTTCTGCTCTTTATTCAACAACTAACATTTTATGAACGATTCTCGTACTGTTCCTCACATTACCAGTAACCTCAGGTAGAAATCAGTATACAATATGTTCTCTGAAGAACTGATAGAGTTAGAGCTCATATTGCACAAAATGGGGCCCAGTAGATTGGGAAAGTCATGTTATAAAATGCAGTGAAATATTTCTGAACCTGAAAGCCATAAAAGTTTAATTATAGGCACAGTCTCTCACCCTTTCTTTCATATGTTTTGAGCACTTTTTTCTTGAGGGGCCTTATTAACATGACCAAAGGGAGTCAAATGCAATATTTACAAACCATACAGCTCTATGTTAATATGTAATACCAAAATGTGATGATCAGCCAAAGCATCTACAGTTTTTTCTGCATCATCAAGAGAAATTTACTGGCAAATGATGGGTTTTAAAGTCACTGTGATGACAGCAGTTACTTCAGTGGAAAAAGACGCATCCCTCACAGCCATCTCCACTGCCAAAAATGTCACAAACACTGCACCCTGCTGGATAAATTACAGGACTATGCCACAGCCCTCGGCAGTGGAACAAACCTCTGCTGCCAAAACTGAGGCCATGTTTACTTTTTCTACCACAAAACTATTTATTCCCTGTTAACACCCGATCAGACAGACTTCAGCCAGTTTTAGTGCATCTTCAATCTAGTACTGTAATGTCAACCAAAACATCATACTTAAAAAACCGTACTCCACAGTGTAGCCCAGTACAGACTCTACTTTGAGGCCTCTTCTGAATGCAAGTCTCACAAATCAGCTGACACATAAACATACTGCACATAAACCTGCTTAGCTTTATGGCACTGGCACAAAACTGGGAAGCAAACGCACCAGATTTAATCGACACTTACTGTTTGTTGGTCTTCATCAGTAGCAGGTCCGTCCGTCTCCAACTCTGGCGAAACTCGGCCGAGGTCGTGGGAAAAGTGGCCTTAAGTGAGACGCCCGTCCAACTATTAGTTGCCAAACGTTTGGAAATAATGTTCATGTTTGTAAACTTCCATTCATAGCGGTTGCTTATTACTGCGGTTCCCGACCACGGCAGTTTGTTCCGGTGTGCTGCGTTCACGACCAAAAACCTCTACAACATCAATTCAACTTTTTAAAATAACCGGAGTTTTTTATTGAAGCTGTATTTAAGACGTCATAAATCCTTCAGAACAGACTTATAAGAAAGCAGCTTAGGACTTTATCAAATTTTGCTGCTAAACAATCTGTTATGGATTATAAACAGTTTGCCAACGGAATCTGGCGGCATATTTTAACTTCCGGTTTGGGTTTCCGCCTTTTTTTTTAAACGCGAATGATTCTACTGTGAAGCAGTGGACGATGGAAGCAGTATTTAAGACGTCACAAATCCTTCAGAACAGACTTATATGAAACCAGTTTAGGACTTTGTCAAGTGTTGCTGTTCAACAATCTGTTATGAATTATAAACAGTTTACCGACGGAATCTGGCGGCATTCTTTAACTTCCGGTTTGGATTTCCGCCTTTTTTTTTAAACGCGAATGATTCTACTTTGAAGCAGTGGATGATGGAACAAAAGGCGAGGTAATAATAGAAAATCAAGGTTTGAAAAAAGGTTCCTACAACTTGTCAGTGCGCTTGTTAAAAATACCCTTGTCGTTTTAACAGGTTTGTTAACATCTGCCTACCCTGTTGTGTATTGTCACAGTCCAGCACATGCATTTATTTAGCTTAGCAGGTGTTTTCTTGTTATTTACCCACTCATTATTCTGACAGCTATGGCTGTCAACATAATAGTGAAGAAGTGAGTGAGCCACCATCACCCACACCATAATGTGCTCCATATTTCCTCTCCGCTGTTGTGAAATAACATTGCACAGGTAGTACCTGATTCATTCACAGTGTGTCATACCTCCAATAATTGTTATGACAAATTGTGTATAATACTGAATATATACCCCAGATATCGAGAAAGCAACCTGGATTGTAAACCATGTAAAAGGTGACTATGATGATAAATACAATGTCATTTAAGCAATGTATAGAGAGGAAATGATGGTATGATTTTTTTTAATTATTATTTGTATCCCTTTAAATCATGCTATCTTTAGTCAAAGATGTCATTGACCATGTAATGCTGTATCAGAAGATCTGGGTTTGACCTTCTGCACAGTGTTTAAGATGATATTATCATACAGACTTGGTCATTCCCAGATCATGGCCATTGCAATCACATATTGTCATTCTCTGGGCCATGCCACTCTGTGTCATGTCACTTGTCATTGCCTTCTTTGACCCAGCTCTTATCAACTGTGATTTTGTTTTGAATTAACTTCAATGATCCAGTCTGTTCCTCTCTGTACCATTATTAAATATCAGGAGACAAGATCTACCACTATCAGGGAGACTGTTAACTTTTGTCTCACGTCATTACAAGTTTGCATATGTTTAAATTTATTGAGATAAAACAAGTTTTTGCAGTATCTTTTGTTAAACCCTTTAAGCCCAGCTAACTATGTACCATACAACCTCTGTTACTCCCAGGACATGTTGGAGGTAGGATGATGGCAGCATGGCGATCCGAGCCTGTCGGTATCCAGCAGTGAGGAAGCTAACAGGACGGAGGACAGATAAAGAATATGTGGAAGACAAAGAGGACTGCTACCAAACTTCAAGTACAGTAAGTCAGAACTGTGAGCTGAGAGTAAGCTGTCATGTTATGTGCGCTGGGTAGACACACGCAACAGCTGACCTGCAGCTGCTACCTTGTCAGAGTTGTGTGTACCTGTTTTTAATGCGACAAGATACATTTGCATTATCGAGAAGTATATAACCTCTGAAGGGCTTTTTATTGTTTTGTAAATCCACATACAGTATGTTTTCTGTGGTAATTTGATTTGGATGGTGAAAAACAGTAAACATAAAAATGACATTTGAAATACTAATGAAATTGTGAAATATCATAGAAGATAGAAGATGTGCACAGAGCAGACTAATTGAGGTTCATTTATACATTTTGAGCTCGCTGTCAAGTATTTAGAGAATCAAAGACAGTTCAGTCGATAAGGTAGCAGAAAGTTATCAAGAGGACATTTTTCTGTAAGAGTATGTCGTTGAACAAGTACTGTTTTAGCAACAAGAATTCCTGGTCCGGTGATGAAGTCAGGTTGCCTTGTCTAGAAAGAAATGTGAAAGAACAATGTTAGTATGCAACACAAACGCTTGAAGCTCTCCAAAATGACAAATTGGAGTCTGAGCTACAGGGCAAAAATCTCAAGTGAGCCATAGCTTAGAGACATCAAAGAGTGCCCTGCAAAACCCCATAACCTAGTTTAAACTGTGATGTTCTTGTTTTTGACAGTTCTAATGGATTCTGTAGCAGATCTGAAACTGATGTAAACCTCCCTACATCCTGCTCCATTGTTGACCTATTCCTGTACTATCTCAGAACACAACCAGAAACCCTTTTCTGCCCAATCAACACCATGGCTACAGTGCGACTGTGAGCGGCGTGCTTGTGACCTTACTTGCAAACAATTTTAATTGGTTGCTTCATTGCTCCAAGGTTCTGGTATGCTTTAAAAATAAGTAATTATTTGAGTGCCTGAGGAAAAATAACATCTCCTTTCTTAATGACTACAGATGAGTTGGTGAGTTATGTAAATATGCCTCCTGAGTTGTAATTTGCCAGCTTTCAATAGGTCAAACAGCCTTGTGGATGATACATTCAATTAACTCTTTTACACGATGAACTCCACGTATTTTTAACATCTCTTAATTGATGTCAAATAAAAATGTAGGACTCCCTCTCCTGTCAAGTGTCTCAACACTGGATGCTGATCTCTGTCGTTGTTTTCCCTCTTGATTTCTTAAATAACCAACATTATTTGTTGCTTTTTGCTGTCCGTTTATTTAAATGTCAGCAGCAGCATGACTCAGAGGCACAAATATTTAGGTGCAAAAATTGTCCCATCAGGCAGGAGCTGCATGAGTATGAAAACCTCAAACTGTACATAGAGACAGCACCTAAAAAGATCAGGAACTGTTTTGAACTCAACTGAACGGACTCAGAGACAAGCACTAGTGGTCAGTCTTCTTGAGCAGTCTGTTAAATGTCATGTCGTTACTCTAAAGTACAGTGTACAAACCAGTACTGGGTGATACTGTTGTTAAGTTTTGCACAGTGGATCTTAGTCTCCATCTCCAATCTCAATCAACTTGGGCGACACAGAAATAAACTACTGAACCTGAACGCTGCATGAAGGAGTCATTCAGTCAGAAAGTAAGCGAGTGAATCAATGAGAGATTTCCTAGTAATAGGTAAACACACTAAAGTGACAGATTGCTCTGCTTCTCAAGCTCTAAATAGCTGACAGCGATGTTAAGTGAACAATACTCCACTTTTGTCATCCCGGGACATCTGTGTACTTACAGTACATGTGTCGCTTTGAACGTTTGTGTGTATTTATATATAAGTGTGTGCACGTGTTTGTGTATCAGGCTGTCAGGGCTGTCCTCCACTCCTAATGGTTTAATGGGCACCCTGTGGTGCCTCTCAAGCCCCCTGGAGAGGGACACACTCAGAGTGTAGGGGAGCACAAAGGCGCAGCCATGTCTCTAGAGAGGAGTGTCTTTGTGACGAGGGGCCACTGCTGTGCTGACTGTTGCTGGCCTCATGGTGATTACCCTCCCCGGGGGGTCCGCATTGTGGGCCATGAGACCCAGAACTTCACCTTTACATACCCCCCTGCTGCGCCTCAACAGGGGGCCAAAACACACCCCTGTCGATCATCCCATTTCGGTAGAACAGCTCGCCAACCAAGCAATCCATCAAGCACGCTTAGTCACTTTTTCCAGTCATGGATACGTACATGACTGAGCAGTGATCCCAGTGAAGTATCATGAACATACACAGTACATACGGTGTGGAAATAACATAAACAAAAACATTTGAACACGTTACAGTGGAAAACTACATATTATTGATGTAAAGATCTACATATCACATAATTATATTTTATTACCTGACTTTCCTGTGAATCACCTGGCTGTGCTAAACCTTGATTCTGATTTGTCAAAAGGTGGTGAATTCTGAACAGCAAAGTCGATGTGAAAAGAAAAAACTAATCTCACATGTCACATACATCAAAGTAAGGAAAGGATATATATTTTCTGTTTTGACTTTGTGGAAAAAAGTTACTTCACGATAGCATTTGGAGACAACAAAAAGGATTTCTTGAATTTAACTCTCAGTATTTTTGAAGTGAAAGAGACATCAACCAGATAGAAGACAACAGATATCAAGCGACCATAAACTGCAACAAGTGAGGGATTCGGAAGTCTTATAGGACTGATTGAATGAGCAGAAAATGCCAACAGGAAACAACAGGAAAGAATTTGAGAATGCCCAACCCCGATTAAAAATGTTAGATTAATGTCCTTCATCTTAGTGAAGCAGAAAAGAAAAGATAATATACGGCAGCCGGTGGATATCCATTTCAAGTCAGGGTCTTGTCGCACCCCATCAGGATTCTGTTTTGCTAAACACTAATTTTCCTTACTTACCAATTATAACACCCATTTTAAACTCACTTTTTCAGTCATATATTGTGAGTTAAACATCACATACATGTATGCTGTACACCAGGCATACAGAAAATACATCCAGAAGCCTTGGAAATCTTTGTTCATATCTTGACCTACTTCTGAACCAATGCATATTTTATATGCCAAGCAGTTTCAACCACATCCTGCTGGCACACACAGAAAGCTGAGTACAGTATGCAGATCCAGTCCTACTCAATCTGCCCACCAGCTTCTGCATTCCACACCTAACACCCTGCATGAGGCTATAATTGTGTGAGAACTGTATTTTTTAATAACTCAACCTAAGCCTTAATATGCCTGTGAGAGGGCTGTAGCCTGGAGCATCCCAGAGGCTGGCTTTGGGTCCATGGTACCGGAGGCGAGTAGTTTATCTACTCTGATTTCACTGATCATGGCCAGCCCCTGGGGACCGGTTTAACACCTACCTTTGGTTCTCGCTGTCATGGAGACTGTAGTTGACGCTTTACAATTCTCCTTGCAGTTTTGATATGCTGTGTCTTGAGAATGTGTGTGTCTGATAGATGTCTATGATGATGATTCAGTGAGGGAGCATTTTATCTCGTGTGTAGTGCATGACCTGAAATGCTCGTCCTTTATTACCAGTTTCAAGTCCATCCTAATAAAAAAACTCTTACTGTGAATACTCAGTGCGAGTAATGTAAAGTTTTTTTGTTGTCCCTGAGATGTAATTTGTTTTATAGCCATTTTAAAATTGACTAAAATCCAGAAGCTTATCATTTTTTGGCAGCATTATGACACCATTTTCACAGTACATGCTTCCAACCCTCCTTTGCCCAGAGTTTCACACAGAGTTGCGGTACTCTATCTTCGTACAACAATTCTCTTCATTATCGCAAAGCAATACCAAAGGGTCTATCTGGCTCTCTTATCTGGTTCTCGCTTCCTCTCCCTGTTTCTCTGCTCAGTAATGCTCAAACCGCCTCCAAACTCCACCTAGAATTAGACTCCCAGCTATCGTAAGGACGTGTTTAATTTTACTGTTGGTGATAGAGGATGTTTCTGTGGTGTCTGGCTGTCCACCACAATCAATAAGCTCTAAGCAGCATCTGGGAACACAGTTGGTGTAAAGGTTAGTGTAATGTGGAAATCAATAATTGGATTGTTTCTGGGAAAATGCTGACATGTACATGGCCATTTCCTTTTAATTCCCTTTTCTTTTTCATTTATCAGGCAACACATTTCTTGCTCGAGCAACAGAACAACAAATGCACTCATTGCATTTACGAGTTTCATCTAAGTCCTTACAGTGAATGTTGTTTTGTCCAGACTTGTTCCTGAACCATGAGTCTACTGATCACAGTGTTAGCTGAGTTGCAGTTTTATAAAAACTCTGTTTGATTCAGGGTCGGGGTGATGGGATGAGGCTGCAGAAATCAGACTGAAACATGTACATTCTAGTGATCAATCGGTGCTGTTTTCTTAATACCCAATGCTTATCAGAGAGCAGGTTGACTGTTAGCTGATAGATATTGCTGAGATCATATTGGGGTATTTGCACTTGATAGAACATAACAATTTAATGATAACAAATAAAAATCAAGTCAAGTTTAATTCTATTATTCCATACACATTACAATCTAATATACTTGGTTTTCTTTGACATTTAGATGTTTTAGATGAGTTTAAATCAATTCACAAAATAGAAAAAAAAGAATTTGGTTATACTTTAGATACTCTGTACTCAGAATATGGCTGATATATGTTAGAAGCATGAGAGAATTAATATTAAACACTAGCCAGTAACTGTAATTGATTCGGTCTGCTGTCATTTAGGATGGGATGGGAAAAATGTTTTATTATCTAAAAAAAAATTGAGGACTGAGGCAACATTTTACCCCCAAATTGTTCCAAAATATATAAATTTGTTTGTTTTATGTTAGTTGACAGACTTCATTGAAAGCCAAATAGCCCATCTAAGCAATCAAGCATTGAAAAACAGTAACTCACTTCACAGCCTGCTCACACATCTCATCTCATCTATCAAGTGACTGGAGACAGCACTGGCAAGGCTGATAGTATTTGTAGACAGTGTTTGTCGATTTACTAATTAGCCTGGTGAGTGCAGGCTGCAGCCCATTATTTCAAAATGCCTTTAACTGGCTATTTTAAGTAAATTTCTTCAGGTTTGGTCTTGTATATTGACCTGTATCATACAACAGGTCATCTGTTACATGTCGCCGGATTGGCAGAAGAGAAAAGATTTCATTCAGATATTCATAGATTATCTAAAGGAATTCCCAAAACTGATGGAATTTATTATCCTTCTGAAACATTCTTGGTTTACTCTATGGGCACCATCCTGTTGAAAATGCCACGAATTTGTTAAGAGGGTGACATCTAATCAGATACTATAACCACCTCAAGATTTAGCACCAAGAAGAACAGATACTTATAGCGTATTACAAATGTCTGAGGACCTTTCAGTGTCCTGTTAAATGAGCCGAACCAACTTCCAAATGAGACTTGTTTTGCTCACTATACACGTCTCAGGATTAGAATTGAGGGTTGGGTACGGAGGGGAAAGGACTTGATGAGTGGTCTGCCCTTACCTGCAAAGAGGTCAGTCCACAACATGTAAAAATGTGCTGTGCAGTTATATTGTTTAATATTGCAATACTTGTGGGTTGACCAATGTGGCTTTTAACTAGCTGTTTATTTATTTATTTATTTATTTGCTGGAGCCCCTATTTTCCATACAAAACCAGTTTAGTTCAGTCAGCTCACAGTCAGACTTTTGATTCACTGCACTTATCAATGTCACCAGTCAATATCAAGGTGTAGTAAGACTTCTTATAATGGCAGAGGTCCATACAGAGAAAAAAAAAAAAACACATTTATTTATAAGGGTATTATTTCCAGGTCAAGAGATGCTAATATTGCTGCAGCACAATTTCAAACAATTGTATTTACATTTTTTTTTTTATAAAATCCCAAATGCAAGTATGAGGGAAACAGGGCATTAGCGACAGTAAGTTGCAAAAAGCACTCTGAAATGAAGGTCAGTGGCCAGTGCAAAAATGTCATGCCAGTGTCATTAGTGGACACGGGTCCTAACAGTACAAGATGCAAAGAATAAATTTAGACATTACTGATGAGATGATGTTGTGATAACAATGACATTTGATTGAGTTTTGCAGAGTTTTATTATTGTTGCAAATGTTGGAGATTTGATGTACTGGAGACCATAGTTTGAAGCAGACTGTAAGAACACATCTCTGTGATTGGTCACTTTACTCTTAATTTGCCTCCACTGGACTGGCTTCATATTACTGCTCTTCTTTCCGACATCCCAAGCTACATCTCAATGGCTGTCTGTGGCCATTCAGCATTGGCAGCAGCAACAAAGGGGAAAAGCAATGAGTTGTGACAGAGGCAATGTACTCTACTTCCCCACAACCCTCTCCTTTTCAATTAACTTCTTTCACGCTCAGCTGTGATTCAACGCTACAATGAGCATTCAGGCAAACATTCAAAGGCACCTCCCCAAAGTCCAAACAGGGACTTGTTAAATGGAAATATTTAGACAGGGGACATGCTCGCCAGTTGTGCTCTTGCTCAGCCTCCATTTGAGCTCCCTAAGGTTTATTGTCTAAAGTATAATCAGCTTAGGTTGTATAATATCTTCCCGGCTTGCAGGGAGATGAAATTTACAGTGAATTGGGCACTTCAGCCCGGATCAGATGAGAATCCATTGGACAAATTTGGAGTTATTGGAAAGATAAATCTAGATAACTTTATTTTACTGTCACACACAAACATACACAGATGCAGACAAAGATGTTCTACTTTGTACAGCTAAAAAGAAGACTCGACCAGTAGGGGGCAGCTCTTCTGCTGCAAGAAAATATCTATTACAGCTTAAATGTGCAAAAACATACCTTTCTAGGTGTATGCTTGTGAATTTATAAAGCAGACAGAAGATGTATTCAAAACGTGTCTGTTTGTATTTGTAAGATACAGCAAGCAGGAGAGTAACTGTTTCATGCAATGTGAGCAGTGTTATCTATGTGTGCCAGCATATTGGCAAACAAAACACACTTCAGCTGCATTATGTAATCCTGGAGGAGTTCCCACTGTAAAGCCAAGCAGCAATTCAGAGGCTGCAAGGTGTGCTGCTGCCTGCAGGAAAACTGCTATCAACAATTTATGACACTTCCATTACAGCCACAGAGCTCCTGTATGCTTTTTCTACTTTTTTTAACAGCTGTGCAAACCTGCCATCATGGGACAGGTCACAAGTGATTAGGATCATATTATGACTTTAATGCATATATTTTTTTGTGTTTTTCTTTGTGCTTTTGTTGCAGTAGAAAAATACAAAGCCTTAGAAAGATTAAATACTCTCTCAAATTCTACTTTTTTACCCAGTTCGGGCTCTTTCAGTGCACTAACAATAAAACTACACCTAGTACTTTATAAATCGCAGTTGGTGTACATTTTTTTTTTTTTTCTTTTTTAAGTGAATTGAGTTGGAGCCTGTTGTCTTGAGCTATCATTCAAACAGCTGGTAAGTAAAGGGACTGGGTGGTTGTGTTAAAATCACATATGTCGAGAGAAAGCAAAGTGAATCTGTTGTTAACGGCTAATCTCAGGTTTTCTGCAGTTTTAATAGTAGGGGCTGTGAAAGAGTGAGGTGCGAGGGTTAGGAGAGTGTAAAAAGGATGAAGTTAGAGAGGCAGAATAAGTGTAGGTTACTGTAATGTGCTCTGTGCAGGATGAGATATTTGAACCCTGTGCCCACTATTAAACTCCCTAAACTAAAGGTAAAAAATGATGCCCAGCAGCAGAGCATGTTGATTTATGTTCTACTTGTCAGGCGCTGCTGTTAACTGAGAGATCATCAGAAACCGATACCTACCAGTACACTGTCTGCAACGCTTCGTCTTTTCTTTGTTCGTAACCCCACAAGGAGGTGCACTGCTTTTGTTTCATTTCAGTGCACTTACTTTGTCCAACATGTGAGGAACAAGGACAGGGTGTAACACAACAAGCACTTTGTCGCTTTGTTATTTTGCAAGGAGTCCCTCAATATTTCATGAGTCTGTTGCGCAGAATATTTAAGTAGCACAGACTTTATGGGGAAAACTGTGAAGCTGTTTTACTAACAGCTCTTGGACTTAACAACTCTGCCGTAAACCACACTCAACCTTTAAAAAAAACAGGCCTTTTGAGTGATTTCTAATACTATTTCTTAATTTCTAATGCTTGGCTTTCATGTGATGGTGAAAATTATCCTTGTGCATTTGCTCGATCACTTGCTCTTAAAAAGCATTTTGAGGAAAGTGCCAAGTCTCTAGTTATCCTCCCGTGTGGCTTTGTAGGAAATATGTAATGAGCTATCCAGGTGCAAAGGGGACCCATGGCATTTAGACCTCCCTGGGGTGTTGAGGCAGATGAATTTCTATTAATGATCACATGCTCTCGGCTGCCTAATGGCACAGGAGAGATGAGCTGCAGATTACCAACCTTTTAATTGGTCGCACAGCTAAGCCTCTTTAACTGCAGAAAAGCATATCTCTGTTTCTGTGGCTAATGGTGGAAGTTTAGTGTTTGACTTTCATGGAAAGTTGAAACATTACTTAGGCCCGCTCATCTTTTTCTATACTGCAGTGCCCCAGTAACCAAGATCTGTACTCAAAAATATAACTTTCACTGCACAGGTTGGGGATAAATACTTGTGACACATGCCATATGGCTGCAAACCCACTGTGCCATATGTTGTGTGCAGCAGTAAACGCAGGGGGGTGAGAAGGGTCAGCTATAGAGGGTGCGGTACAGTGTTGTGTTGTGCATTAGGTGTCAAAAAAGTGTGAGGATCTGCTGCAGACCTGCCTCGGTTATGTAATGGATGAGCCCAGTCTGCTAAGCCTCTACCTCTGCTATCATTAATTCATGTCACCTAGGACAACATGCACAGGAGCCGAGGAGCCACTGTGGGAGACACTGAGAAGGAGGCCGATCCTGTGGGAGGATCAGGCGACACTGAGGATGGAGGGATGGAGAAGAGAGGGAGAACTTGAGGCTTGGGTGTGGTTAGATTGAAAGTGTTTCAGACAGTCAAAGAGAAAGAAGGACACAAAGACACTGCCGAAAAAACTTAAGTGTTGTTTCAGATGATTGGTAGTCTTCTTACTAATGACAGAGTGAGAGTGTACCTCTGACCCTGACGGATTAGTCATCCTGTTAAAAAGGCCCATGCGACAAAACAACATGACATCATTTCCTGACCTGAAACCTTTTGTTCTTCTCCTCTGCAGTGTGTTAAATCTTTAATAACAGGTCTAATGTACTGTGACAAACTGTGGACTCACTTTCTCTGTTTAACTGTGTTTTGTTGTTGTTGTTTTTGTGAGCCATTATATTGAGTCTCTGATATTAAATGCCTTTTGCAGGCTTTTTTATTTACACACAAGAATGCCTGCTGCTTTTTTTACCTCAGAGCTGATAGCGACAACAGTAAGTAACCTCTATAAAATATAATGATTTGGCTGTAACCACAACTGCCATAGTTTCATGGTGTTCATATTTTTCAAGTACTATGCTGAGCATATGCAAGAGTAGAAGCGGTCAACAGATGTTTTACTGTTGTATATTACCACTGTAGTCACAGGAAAAAATAAGGTACATGGTATTGTACAGTATCATATCCTACCATTCAGTGTCCTTGTATCTTATTATAGTGTGTTGTACTGTACCATATCTTGTTGGACCTGATGGTACCGCAACATATCATTCCATACTCTATCATATCATATCCATGTTATACTGTATCATATCATGATAGCATGCCAAGTTTATTCAAACAATTCATATAAGATTGTATCTAATCATTTTTACCCAATTTACCATGATCAGACCAGCAATTCTGTGTGGTTTAGTCGTATCATATCATATTTAATATCAAACACTACTGCATTGTACCATACTGTACCTAATAACATATTGTATCTTAGTTTTGGTTTCAAATCATTTAAATCTTTCTCATTATGCAAATCAACGTTTCAGTACGGGTTGGTATGGCATCATATAGGGCTCGGCAATATGGGAGAAAGTTTATCACGGTATATTTTATTCATATCAGTCGATATCGATACATATCAGGATATAAAGACAGAAATTTAACTGTGCTTATCGGTAGCATGTCTTTTGCAGTACAATAAGCTACTGCATCTGTGAGGTTCTTTATGTCTCTTCGACGTTTTGTCGTAAGGCGTTGCGCTAGAGAAAGCTGACTGAATTTCTGCTGGGGGTAGGACTCATTTTCTTTTTTTCTCACCGACAGTGCTGTTGGCTTCACGTGTTAAAGTGCTATGGTTGCGCGTAGCTAGTGCCTGCTACTATGCAGTTGTTTGCTACTTAGTTCTAATTCAGCACATGATTGGTTCAGTGCGGTACCATCCCAGAGAAACTCCCTTTTTCATTGGCCATTGGTATAGTCTACCAAAACATGACAGAATACCGACTATCAAAAAGGATATTGACCATGTTTTATATTAATATTGAGGGAAATTAATTTTCGATATATATTGTTATCGTTTTATCGCCCAGCCCTAGCATCATACTATATAGTTTCATATAGTATCTGATGTTATCATAATTTATCCTATCCCGCCAAATTATATCTGAATGTATTGCATTTTAAGTATCTCATTGTATCGTATCCTATCATATTGTACCATATAATTTCGTATTGTATCATATTGTACCATGTCGTATCATTTTGTTTCGTTTCATACCGTATCGTATTCTATTATACTATACTGTGTCCCTGTACAGTAATTACAGAGAATGGCAAATAAGAGATTAGATCTTGGCTATTTTGGCATTGCAGGTCTTTGCAGAAATATTTGACACCATATTTAACATGTAAAAGTGACTTCTGACCACATACACAATTTAACAGCTTAATTGGAGAATATTTTTACACACTTCATACATTTACAGGACAATATAGGTATTAAATGCCATTGATTTTATCAATAATGAGCAAAAATCCTCATACACAGAGTGAAAGTTGACACAGTTTGGCATAAATTCATTAAACTTGATTTGAAACCTAAACCAAGTTTTACATGAACATTTCTTGCTGTATCTTCTTTGCAAATCACTAATGTTGAGTATTTGTATGTTTAAGATTGATAGCTTTGCAAACTTGTTGACTTTAGCATGAAGCAGACTTTCATCAAAGTAAGCTACTGTAGTTGCAGATTTATGGACGTAGATGAATTCCGCAATAACTGACTTAAAGTCCATTTTACGATCCACCGGAGTCTTGCCAGGGCTCATGTCCGTGTTGTCCACCCTTCAGCGGTATATCAGAGGGCAGTCATTCTGTTTTCTCCCTTCATCTGGCCAAATGAGCTGTTGTAGCACTGTCAGGTCTTTGGTTGCAGAGTTTTACGGCGAACAGGGGGAGCGTAAAATGCATGATTTCCTTTCACATGGGTTGGCGTTCACTTCCCCTCTGTCTCACTGCTTCCGTCGTGTGATTTACAAGCCCAGTCATGTCACCCATGGCCTTAACCCCTAATCTAACCTCTGACTGCACTTAACCCTGACCTAACAGCTCCCAGGAGGACCAGACGTCATTATTAGACACAGTCATGCCCATAAACACAACCCCTAAGCAGCATGAACTCTACCATGTGTAAAAGTCTAAAGGCATGAAGTTTATCTTCTTTCGGCTTTTGAGCGTGCCAGAACTTGGTTTAAGTGGCTCGTATTCTCATTTGTTCACACAGTATAAACAATTGGCCTTCTTGCAAAAAAAGTGAAGTGAAATTCTCTCCCACAACAGCACTACGAGTTCATTTTGACTTCAGCCAGATGGCAGGTGGCTGAGCAAGATGGGAGAGTTATTGTCATCAATCAGTGGAGAGTAAACAAAAATGCACCACCGCTGCTCCTGAAAGAAATGAGGAAAGTTGAAAATCTATATTAGTCACTTTTATTTTGGAAGATTTTGTTTAAACTTAATGAGCTATTAGTTCTTCTTCGAGTCACCTTTGTTTATTTATTTTTTACTTTATTGAAGTTCTAACCTTGTAAAACGAAACTGACGCAGGTCTTTGGGAGTTAAGATGAAGACTCATCCATGCCCTAATTTGAATAATCTCACCTCTCTTGTTTTGTTGATAGTTGATAGTGCAGTCAGATTACAGAAGAGTCATCATAAGATTAGCCATTATTAAATAAAAAGTCATTACAAATGCTCTTGAGGTGATACCTTACATTTGCACAGACTACGGTAGCATTAAACCCCCCCCCTGAAAAGAGATCACATCTTTCCACCTTTCAAAGAATCCCAAAGAAATCCCAATTTAAAGTTTGTGTCTCTGATCTCAAGTACAGCTGGTATTATCCGAGGCTGTTAACAGTGCGAAGATGGAGTGCTAGATAATTATCATCAGTACAGTATGTCTGTTTCTTCCTGTCTTCTCTCCCATATTCAGATTCTGGTTATGTAATCGCAACATGCCCGGTCTGTGGAGGCTGACAGCGTTGGATGTCAGGCTGCAGATATAGATCTCTTTTATAAACCCAAAAATGCCTCAGTGAGCTCGGGAGAGCAGTCTGCACCTTCTAAATGGGGTTGGTCAGTTGGATCACTCTTGTATACCTCAGAAAGAGGGCAGATTTGCGGGTACTAATAGTGCTATGACCTCATCACATCCTGCTTTCTGTTTGATAGCATCAACGTACAACAGATCAGGATGAAACAGAGTGGGTCCAGGCCAACTCCTCTGATAGTGACACTGGAAGAAAAAAGCATGTGAGAACGAGTCTTTCAAAAGCTGTGTGGGGAAAAAAATAGTCTCCTTTAAAGAAAAATGTAGTACAACCTTGTGGGTGGTTGACTGGAGAGGGACAACTTGTTTGATGCTGCAGTACTTTTCGTCGGCCTCAAGGCCAGAACTGATAGTGGCACCGGAGAGATGAAGATACTGTACATGCTGGAGATGCTCAAACTCCTGTCTTGTGTAGTTAACCTCACATGGCACATAGACTTAAGATATCGTGTTCTTCTATCTATAAAAGAGCCAAGTGCGTGCAGGTGCTCTGGCTTGCATTTGCGTGGCATCTCACATGCTAGAACCCTGAAGCTGATCTCCAGTTTGCTTTGTAGAGAGAATTTGCAGCAGTGCTAATGGCTTCGTACAAAAGTCTGTCGAGTTTGCTTTAAAAAAAAGAAAAAAACGACTAATTTAATCCCCCCTGAAGGAAAGAGAAAGAGTATTTTAGGTAATCTCATGAACTTGATGAAGCTATGTGACATTACCCCTTGGTCTGAGGAAGTGTTATGAAGCCAAAATATGGAAGCCTCCATATTGGGAATGCTGATTCCAACTAACTGTTGGCTGAGCTAGAAACCAGCCAAAAAGCAGAGCTGAGCCCACAGCCTTGCTGTCTGGCTTTCAGCTACCACATGCCCGCATATCAGCCAGATTATGTGTGCAAAACTCTCAGCCATATAATAATAATAATAATAATAAGGAGAAGAAGTAGAAGAACTTTATTGATCCCTGAAGTGAAATTCAATAATAATAATAATTAAACATATAAGATGTATTAATTTAAAAAACAACCCCCCTGTGTTGTTGTCACCAAAAAGGTCATGTAGTATAAACACCTGAACTCTGCTGCTTTGCTGTTTTGTTGGGGGACATCACCATCTCTTAGTTTACATAGCAATGTTGATTGATTCAAAGCCTCTAACTGTTGATTTTTATGACATAATTACGATTGCAAATAAGTAAGAAAGTCTTCAGTGGTGCTTGTTCTGTCCACTTGGTAGTGCTGTCGATTGTTCTCAGACAGAAATATGTTCCAAATGAAAATGTGGACTTATTTTGGATTTTTTTTAACATGGAGTGATGAGTGAAAAATAATATACTACACTCAAGTAATGAGACGCACACAGAGGTTCACATCACTTGCCAGCATCCAGGCATAGCGTGAGCCGATGAGGGCAAATACTCAATACTCAATTTACTCTGACCAAATACCACCAAGCCTGGCTGTTAATTCAGATCAAGCAAAGAAAGTCACATAACCCTTTCACAAAGATTTGAGGAAAATGGAAGCTTTTGCTAAATGCTACTTCAAGTTTAGGAAGATTGAATCTTCTCCACACAGAAAGGGCTCATCTGAGAAATTAAGGTCATCACGAAGTTAAGAAACCTGACACTAAACACAGAGTAAATATCCAAACAACCACTAGTAATAATTCTGTAGTTTGTAGTGACCACCAACAGTAAAAATCTTGCATCAAAAACAGAGAGAGGAAGAGCACAAGCAAGAGGTCATAACTTCAGCCAACTCTTCTTTGTGCAAACACATTACCAGAGGGACGCGAGTTTATCGCTGACTTTGCAGTTGTGTGTGCAGAATCAGATATTCTTTTGGAAAAATAAGAACTAACTCTGTTAGTCTTGTGAATAAAGTGGAGCTGGAGAGTAGCCCTCATTTGACCCGCTCCCCCCTGCATTGCAAAGCAGCATACAGAGGATGTCCTGTAGAAGATCCATCCACAACACTGACGTAGACTATCAAAAAAAAAAAAAAAAAAACAGCCTCCAAATTAATGTAGTCATCCTAACTTACAGATTTTAGGCACTTGACTCAACAAAAGTATTGAATGTTCATTTGAACTGATGCCTTTTTATTGAAACTTATCAATATTCATTAGGTATCACATTTTCTTATTAAATTGTTGACATTTTTTTTTTTATCTACAACATAATTAAAAATGTTGAAAAATAAAAGGAATAAAAGGAATCTGAAAACAAAAGGGCTTCCATAGAGCCCCAGATTTGCTTTACTTTACCGTCACAGACAGAAGATTTACACCCATGTGAGTATAACAGCTCACCATATGTGACAGGCAATGACAGATGCTGTATCACTCTCCCCAGAATAGACCAGTGTATGAAAGTCACACCTGGATGAACTATTCCTGTATCACTGGATTGTTGCTGATGTCTGATGTGTGAATGTTTTCAAACTCAGTTGGGTCCATATCATTATGGACACCAATATGTATATACAGCTCTTTTATTTTGAAAAACACCAAGTCTCTCCAGCATTAGAATTTAGAAATTATTACTGTTATTGTGACAGAGTGTTTTAGCAGGAGACTTAAATAAGACAAACAATATATTATGTAAGTTGTATTTTTGTTCGTTTTGCTTTTGTTAGATTGGACAGCTAATGAGAGCTAGGAAATGTGAGGAGTAGAGAGAGTGGGGGAAGATATGGGACAAAGGCCTTGGCTGGGAATTGAACCAGCGATCATTGCCATGAGGGCTATAGCCTCTGTAAGCAGACCGCTCAGTCTTGGAAAAGGCAATAAATCACAATATTTTGCAATATGTGGCATTGTAATGCTCACTGTATCTAAAAATGTTTAGGATAATATAGTAGAGGAAGTGAAATTTCAGCTCTGGGGTCTCTGCTGATTCCCACTCCTACTGTCAGGATGGTCTATAACTGCCTCTTCACAATAATCTTGCCTTATATCGTGATGTTTCCAGATCATTACCCCAGTCAGTCCCCCTTTAATGCCAGTACCCTCCTGCGTTAGCGCCCCCTGTCTTCCAGCTTATCTCACTTTTCACGGGTCTGTGCAGTGAGAAAATGCCCTGAGGTCATATTTCTTCAAACAGATCTTTGCCTCTTCCTCTTGCTAAGTGCAACTCCTCCTCCTCCTCCTCCCTCTTAGCCACATCACATCATCTCATTTTTTGTTGGAACTTCCTGATTTTGCTCGACACCTATTTCCTTTTTTGTGCATTAGGCGTCCACAGCCGGCCACAGTCTGTATGAGTGCTCTGTCAAAGTGGCTTCAGAGGTTTTGCCCTCTCAAGTGGAAGTGTTCCCCGAAGAGTTAGAGCCTATCAGGCAGATCCATTTCACACCAAAGAGTCAATAACTAGGCTGTGTGATAAGACACGGGGGCTAGTGGGGGCTCCTTAGGACTTTATGACTTAATGGCTCAGTATCCAACACTTTATCTTTGACTCGGTTCATTTCGAGTGAAGACAATAGGAGTCAGGATATTCATTAATATACACTGAACATCCATTTTTGTCCCTTTCTTTTCTTTTTCTTTCTATTTTCCTGTATTTTAAATCAGTTCTTCAGCTTGTCTGTTTGTAGTCATTACTCAAAAAGACATCAGTGCAGCGAGATGATATGGGGACAGAGGTGCAGGATGTAACAGTCCCATGAGACTCTTTGTCAAAACATGTTCACTTAAGTTCTGTCGTAGTTACTTGAGCATTAAAAACTATCCAGCTGCCACTGAAGAACCCAAGCCTTTTGTTGCTGGATGACAACAGATACACCTTGGATATAAATACATCAAGGAAATATGAGGAATTAATTACCACCCTTGTGACATATTACTGATTTTTTTTTGGGGGCTGATTTTTGTGGGTTAAATTTTATGGGCAATGCTGCCACCTGCTGGACAAAACAAGAAACTGAATTGCAAACAAAAAGGGGGGCATATGACACCTCTGACTTCTAAAGAGGGGCAAAAATATCACTCTTTTTAAGGTGTAGAAATATCAAAAGGATTATAAGGACTAAATATAATTTGTTAAATATAAATTAGTTGGTGTTTTATCTCAGCTGGTGCGGATTATATTTGTAGAATTGGCAACTGACAGTCTCTTTATACACGCACACGGCACAGCTGTCAAATCTTATTCGGATCAAACAAACAGAAAGACAGTTTTGTGTTTTAACTTTAAACTCAGCTCTTATTCTGAAGAGAAGAATCTATTTGTAGAATATTTAGAGCAAAGTGAAGTTTGATTTGTTTTAATTGCACCAGCACACTGATCAGCTTTTATCAGCGTATGCTAAAAATAAAGCATCTTAATTTGGTGTCAACTCTCTCTCTCTCCACCTCTAACCTTTTCAGTTACAGCCCTAACATCATTTCCCTGTGACCCACAGAGAACTTAACTAGCCACAGGATGAGCAGAGAGACAGTGTAGCACTTTGATGCGGCAAATGCAGTCCAGCAAAGGGCAGCGAGACACACCCTACACTGGCCACACTGTGGGTTTAGATTATTTCCTCCCATCACTCAGACAAGCAGGCTCCACAGGCCATCTAATCCCCCTAGGCCCCAAATGACCATCTTCCAGGGCCAAAACATACAGGCTAGACTAAGTGTTTGCACTAAGATTAGTCAAGTCTTAGACAGCATCCTCTTTTCTAGATGATTTTTTTTTTTTAAGTGCTAAAGAACATGAAGGGGGAGCGAGAGAGACGAGCTTAACTGTCCGGCCTCTTATCCTGTCTTTGTAACCTACATTAAATTAAAGGAGTGCAGGGGCCGGCTCCTGATATGTGTGAAAACCCAGAGAGATTACACAGTGGTAATTAATAGGAGTAGCTGAGATTACAAAATGCTTGTATCTGTGTGTGTATGTGTGTGACCCTCAAAGCTCACAGGCGGTCTTCAGCCGGACATACCCCCCACTGACCGTGCCCCCCACTGGGAAATGTCTCGCCAAAGTCCCCATCTGAGAGGTTTTCAGCTATCCTGTGTCATTTGCTACTTTAGCCAATTTATCACAACGTCACAAGTGTCTGATATGAATCGCAGGTTTAAATTCTTAAACAAAGACAGCTTGTTACGGTGCGTGTTTCTTTCTTATGAAACATTAAACTCTATTACCAGGTAGGAGAAACATAAAGCTACAGATTCGCTTTTATTCTCCTCGTGAATGTTTTCATCTGCTTTTGCTTTCATCCTGCATTTCAGAACACATGTTGTTAGCGAGCTTTCATCAGACAAAAGTAAGGTTTATAATTGAAACATGAGGTGGGTGGCGACAGCTTTAGATCAAAAGTAACAATCCTGACAGGAAATCATTCACACTTACAACTTCAGCGATGAAACTCATCATAAATCCTTTCCAGATGAGTAAATACAACATTTGTTATGCACCAACAGACTTGCACACACTTGGAAAAGCAATCGCTACAAAACAGGAAGGCCCCATAATGAAGATTACTTAATTCTGTCTGAATCCAGATGTAATGGATGTGCTCACATGTGCTCGACGGGAAGAAGGCAGGACGTGAACAGTGAGAGGTCCGCACTTTCATGTCGCCCCTTTCACGCAGTGATCCCACATTTCATCAGCTGTGCCCCCAAAACACTTTTTTCACCTCACACCCACTCTGAGCACAGTATCATGTCAGTGTTTACAGGGGGGACATCACAGGGTTGAGTGGGAGCTCCCTCTAGTGGTGATAACGGGTCACTGCAAAGAGGCAGGTTTGGTTCGAATTCTACTGTGGTTGTAATGTAAGTAAAATAATAAATAAAGTGGAAACATCCTTTAAAATATCAATCAATAAATCAGTAAACCTTTATTTCTATAGCAACTTTCATTCAACTTAAAAGAGAAGTAAAAGAAAAAAGACAAAAAAATAAAAAACAATAATGTATTTACAAGTAGAAATACAAACAGACAAATAAAGATAGAATAAAAAATAATTAAACAAGAGTTCAAAATAGCTTAAAACTTTGAAAAGAGAAGTTACACCAAAAACATTTTTTTCTCTTTTTTTTTAATTATGCTGGAAAAAGAATTTAGCCATTTAAGAATATTATTTATTTCACCATTTTCTTAATAGAGACAATTTTCTTTACCCCAAAACATGTCAGATGTATATTAGGAAGCCAAATAGGTATGTTTTTAATGTGAAAACTAAATAGTTTCTTTGACCAGACCCTGCTTTATAGCACATTAAATAAAGCAGGGATTAAACATGGGTTGAACAATGTGGCTTTGACTCATTTAGAAATTTCATATTTAAGCACCTATAGAACCACAGATGTCTTTGCAGGATGTATGAAAGGAAATAAGACTGTCAACAACAAGACTGAATACTTAAAGTTAATATTGATGCCTTAATTTCTCTTGTGTGGTTGGTGTAATCAAGAGCATCCTGCCGAATCAGCCTTTTCTACATTTTACATGGTGGAGTTTCACAACAAGAGATGCAGATATATGTATAAAAGAAGAATGAGAAACAGATTTTTATTATTACCTTTTTTTAACTAATGTATAGAGCAAATTAAGAAGAGATTGAATATACTATTATGATCACATAAGGTGCACAAAATGAACGAGTTCCTCACGGGAGCTTTACAGGAGGTGGTAAATATTCTTAAAAATTAAGTGTTAGGGGTGATCTTTTTTTACCCCTGTAGTTTATTTTTTGTCAGGGGTTTTCCTCCTCCTGTTGTTTGATAGATCACTGGTGCTGGTTTTCTTTTTTTAGGAGGTAAATCAATGCTTAACATCTTAAAAAGCCAAGCCTGGCCCTCTCTTCCACATCAGACTCCATCCTTAATTACATAATGGGATGAATTAATTGACTCGATTAATCCAGGTGACCATCTGTCGGCCAGTCTCTGTCCAGACAGCGACCGACTGGTGATGGTGTAAGCCAGTCCTCGACCAACCTTTAATTCCCAGCATCATGATCGGTCTATCCCCCTGTAGTGGAGGAGTCTTATCAGAAAGTCCTTTAAATATTAGGGTACAACCGTTTGACATGCTTTCATTTTACCCTCCACTGATTTGAAGGAAACTAAAGGGGTAAGAGTGTGTTTTGCAAGGACTTGTTTTGACATGAGTGTCAGGAAAAAGAGTAGCTGAGTGTACATACGTACTCCCCCCGTATGAATTTCTTTTCTCAGCTCAGCTGTCACACAGTAAAAAGCGAGGAACAAAGCAGCAGCTTTGTGTCATGTCATTTCTGAATAGACAAAGCAGTGACTTTTTTTTCCCTGAAACTCTTTATTTTGTCTCTCTCTCTCTCTTTTTCTCACTCCGGGGGCCTTGAGCTGCTATAAACTTTAATACGTGGCGTTCAAATAGGTGCAGCTTAGAGCTCAGCACACACACTCAGCAAGCTGGGAACAAAGAGTTACCTCCACCCTCTCTGCTGCCTTTCAACTTGAAATCAGCAGCCTTATCACTTACCAACAAAAGAACACCAGATTTAAATAACGTGTCAATTCTTCCTCTTTTAAAAATGAATCCAAATGTCCAAAAAAAGGGAATTGGCTTTGACATTCTCTGAAGCAAAGACCTCACAGACAGAATTCATTGGTGTTGGTTAAAAACCAGCTACAGCCCCCTAATAGCTAGTATTTGAAGCAGCAACTCAACAAGAACACTCTCGTGCTCGTCTCTAATGATACCAGTCCACAGAGAGAGGATTAGTGGGGTTTTGGTGTAAATATATCACACTTCCTGTTTACTCTGAGTTGAAGCTGCTCGAGCCAGTGTCTAACTTTAAAGTGTCTGTGGGTGGATGTGACATGACATGACACAAAGATGATTTTTCTTTGAAACACACTTGTACTCGCAAACGATCCTCCAATTACCTCCAATTAATTTCAATATTTAAAATCAATAAACGCACTTAATGCAAATAATTGAAATAAACTGTGATGTCCTCTGACTCCAGCCAGAGTCAAAGGTCTGCTCATGAAGTAAAATCTCACAGCAAAGACAAAAATATTTCCATATCTTGTCCACTAGGGGGCGGCACACAGCCTCTGTAGGAGTCTTTCTGGGCAAAGCGGCCTCAGCTGGCGGAAGGTTTTGTAGTTAATGACAATTGAAAAGCTACTTAAACTGTAATACCAGACTATATACTTATGATTTAAGAGAACCTGTATATTTCTTCCCTCTGTAGGCCACATGTCGTTTTCAATTTCTGCTTGATAGAACCTTGTTCCTCTGACTCTGAGCTCATACAGCGATGACAAGGTTAACCAGTACCAAAGAAAACTGGTGATTTTGTGGTTCCTGTTGTCAGTAGCATGGTTCTCTGAGCTCCAGCCAGCACCACACGTGAATGTTATGGCACCAAACACAAACTGGTATGGCACATCCATGCTCTGCTGAGTTTTTCTTTCTTTTTGCACTAAATAAATCCTTTTCTTTCAGGGCCATAATGAGCAGGAGGCGTATAAAGCTCTAAAGGGGGGGGGGGGGGAGAAGAGACGCAGTGAGACGAGATGGGAGAAGCAAGGGGAAGAGAAGAGAGAAATGATATTTTGTGCCAGATCTGTGGTACAGGCAAAGAGAGAGAGAGAGCGAGTGCTCCTCTAGTCTTAGCCCTATTTGAAACAGATGCTGTTTATAACCCAAAACCTTAATGGGGAGCTCTCTGGTCTGGTGCTGGCCTATGATCACGTTCCAGCCTAGCTCCAGTGCCCATCTTTTTTTCTGGTATGGGGAAAAATGCCACAGGAAAAAGAAAAAAAAAAGCCTCCTCTCCCCCTCCTGTACCGGGGGCAGCTCCTCTGTGAAGCCCTAGATTTATCCAATCAAACCAAGCTCTCTGTGCTCACTTCAAATAGCCACCCCCCTGACTTCAGCCACGCACTAAAAGGAGCCCTCATCTTTCCTCTGACCACACAGCAATATGACCAAAGACATGCTTATTATTTTATAGACTGTGATCTCCCAGCACATGTAAAAGCATAACCTAAAAGTGTGGATTTTTCAGGTTACACGTGATCCCTTAATAAAATCTGCAGCCAGCTCTCTGGCACCCTGCGTTTCACATGAGGACATCAGAAATATATCAGCTCGTACCACTATCACACAGCTGTTGGTAGCACCAACGTGAGCATATGTCCCCCATATTTTGCATAAAGCTAATTTTTTGCCTATTCAAGCGCCCCACTAAAAACCGATTCAATATTTATTTTGATTTGGTGAACCTTTTAATCTACGTCTTCCTGGTGAGCGCACAACATCAAAGCCGGAGCCGACCACATCTCATCATGCAAGAAATCACATAATATCTCTTCCATTACTGAGAAACACTGCCAGGATTACGACACATGATTACTCATGTATGTGCTTTGTCAAGCAGAGAATTAACTGGTCTTTAGTTTTTGCCCACTGGTCACACTGACAGAGTGGATTTCTGAAATGTAGAACACAGATCAGGACGAGGGAAAATACCTTTGTGCCGTTAAAAGTATGCTAGTTTGTCTTTATCTTGATAGACTAGGCACACCAAGTGTAATATGCCTGTATTGAGATGTCTGTGTCCTTTTTCTCCCTCATAAACTTTTTTTGTTTGTTTTTTCATGTTTTTGTTTTTCTTCATTTAATGACCAAAATATGCCAAGAACAGCTCATTGCAACAGATGTGCAATACTGCAGGTCTGAGCCATTTGTTTAAAAAAAAACATCAATTATGAGTGACGAGTTTGGTTAATAACTATCTGACTTAAACCCAACATCCATCACCTTAATAAGAAGTAATCCTGCACTGTTTATTAACTTTTTTAGAAATCCTGGGAGAAGTTTTTACTTGGTTATGAAAATCACTGAAACTAATACTGTTATCTCCTCATGAGCTGCTAAATCACACCTTAAGTGACAAAAACGACAATTTCCATCCATCCATCCATCCATCCATCCATTATGGCGTTACCCATTCGGGGTCATAGGGAGCTGGAGCCTATCCCAGCTGTGACTGGACTTTATTTGCATATTCTTAAGTGAAGTCCACCATAAAAACAGCAAAGATAAGACGTCCCACTTTGTCCACAGATAGTCAAAAATTGATGCAAACTGAAAATTTCTCGCAGACGCTTTAATATTTATTTGTACAGGGATGAACACGAAGCATAAAACATAAAACATGGATATAAGTCTGCGATGTCACCCACTCTCTGATAATGTGTTTTGAAGCCCAATGAAGGGGGTGTCAAACTAGTAACGCTGTCTCAACCTTACTTTCAATCAATGTGGGCAAAACCAAAGAGGTAAAACTGAGGCAGGTATGAAGCCCCCAGGCAAACACCTGCACCCACTTGTCCGTAACCTCAACCTAATTATACAATTTCTGATTATTAACAACTCTCACAACTTTTTATATTTTCTTAACCAATGTTAAATTAAAAACTCATCCCTTATACAGTGTGCACAAATAAGAGTTTGAGCTACATTCCCAAGACTGTCTGTAGCATTTTAACATGAGACCTAATAGGGATTCTTCGGTTTTTGCAGCCGGACTCAAGTGGACATTGAAGGAACTGCAGTTTGTGTCACCTCTCCACTGACTTCTTTTTTTACCAACACAGCAAACACTAACACTACAGAGTGACACTGGATATTAAGCATATAAAAAGGATCTATATCTTGAGCTAATTTGCAAAGTCCTCCTTAATAAAAATGAACAACGAATGTGCAAGTTTCAGTACATAAACATTTTTGCAGTGCAATAACATTGTTTAATATTAGAATAAACTTTTAAGGGCGTGAATATTAAATAGTTTAATTTAGCTATAACTGAAGATTACCTCATTTCTGCTCCCTTTTACTTGTGTTTACATATTCCCCCTGAGTCTGACATCAATCCAGTTAGCTTTAGTAGTTATTTCACCTTTATCTCAGCAACAATTGGTTATGTAGGTAGCTAAAAGCAAGCCTGAGCCTTATTTGTCTTAATCAAAATGGTATTTCACTTTCATCTAGTTTAAGTAAAATGTACAAAGGCAAGTTGAGGGACTTGTTTGTGCATATTGAAAAAATTGTGGTATTGTTATTTGAAAAGCCCTCAGTGCAATAACAATATAATTGTGATTTATTGTCCAGCACTACATGAAAACCAAAAATAGTTTGCACAGTGGCATTGTAAAGTAAAGATTTATGGCTTATGTTTCATTGTAAATGCATGGCAGTGTAGTTTAAATATGCCCAGGTCTATATTTGAGGGTCAGACTGTGCAGGTCTATGGAGGGGGCTGCAGCATTAAGCTAATATTTGTGAGTAACAGCAGATCTGCAGCCTCGGAGTAAACACTGAGTGATAGCCTGAATTTCAGCCCGACACATGCTCTCCACACAGCCCAAGGGCACACGCACTCTGATTTACACCAAACACTGACAGAAAATGGGGCTTTGGGGAAATTACACTCTTATACCTTGCGCTGAACATGAAAACATTTCCTATTCAAATACTGAGTAAACTTTGAATTTGTTGTTGTTTTGCAGGCTGAGAAATGTTTGCTAAGAGTTGTGCAGGAGCTTGAATCCTTCTGGGGCTGTTTGAAAAGAAGGAGTGGGAAGGATGGTTAGTGTTACTCTGGATTACATGACTGGAACTGTGAAATAAAAGATCTAAACAGCATCTTACTGTTTAGCCTATTCTTTGTGACAGAGAGGGAGACAGAGACGCAGAGGTCGACTGTAGAAGCGCTGATGTAAACTTTGTTCTTCATCGTCTGTGAAAGAACCCTGTGCCATCTCTGCGTACTGTGTGAGGTCTTCAAGGTATTTTCAGGTCATGCCATTTGATTGTCTCATTTGTGGGTATAAGCGGCGCCGCACTGGAGCACAAACTGTGTGATTATCCTGCGATAATTAAATGTCAGTGTTGATAAAACTGATACCAAAATGCTCACTGATCCAACCTGTTTATTTTCACTTTTTTATTTTGTGTTCCACTGACTTTTTTCATCTATGAAAGGGAAAAAAAAGGCACCGTTCAAACATTTTGACGCCCTTCTCCCCATAATTTACAATATAATTGACTGTTTTTGCCCATGCATTAGCCTGGGATCACAGGCCCCCGAGGTTCAGACATCTCTTTTCTCAGCGCAGATCAAATGGAGCCAGCTAACCAACACATTGAAATCCCTCGCAAGGAAAATTGGGCTGCATAAATATGGATTTTAATCACTGCCCAGTATTTATCTTTCTTCTCCACTCATCTTTTTGATGTTGCCATATTTTCCGGCTAAAATATGAGTAACATCTTAATCAGGGGATGACAGGGAAAGCAGTGTATTTCTACTATTTCCTGTAATTGTTGTTTTGCCAGAATAGAGATCTCCATCTTTAATTAGTTACGTAAACATATAGTGCCTTAGTTCTTTCATTCTGGGGAGCTAACTGCTGGAAGGAGAGAAAAAATCTACGGCCAAGAGTCTGTGATTGACTTTTCTCATGGACCCAGAGTGCAGACAAAGACTCAAAAGGGGGTCCAAGTGGGAAAGGGCTAAAAAATGTGCCCAGCAAGCTCCTTCAGTATTTTCCAGCCGCCTTTTGTAACTACAGCCACATTTCTTGAATTGTCAGTGACTCCCCGGCACCATCTAAACACATCAGTCACAGGGGCTGTCTTATTTATTTTATCTGTTGTTCCCCTCTCTTTCTCTTTGTTTTTGTTCCTTTTCTTACTGTCAGGTATTTAAGCAGCCTGCCGGTTTTATAGAGCTCGCTGAATGGTCTTGATGGACCCAAGACTCAATGGACAGCATGTGACCCATCTGACCAGAGCTCTTTTATGTACCGCCTCTCTTTGTTGTTTTGTTTTTGTTTGTCTGTGAGAAAAGGAAGAAAAGAGCACTTCATTGGGTAGGAGGTTACCAACTTGCTCCATTAAGGCGTTGGGGATTTCATTAGCCACAGTCAAACAAGGCAATAAATAATAACTTGTGACCTTTTGAAGTCGTTCAGACCGAGAAGTGGGAAGAGTGAGCTTCATCAGTAGCTGACAAAGACGCTCCTCCAGCCTGTTGAAAGGGTTTGCTGGGTAAAGAGCAGAGCTGTTCTCCTTATTGTTTTAGCGTACCTCACTTTGGCCATTTCTCATCATGATGATTGCCGGACATCACTAAAAATCTCTGGCGTGGTTGTATTTGCCGGATGAGTAAAACAAGGTTCATTGTGACATGTGCGAGAAATGGTTCTCTTCGGGCTCTAGTACATGCAGTATTACTTTGTACTATGAACCCCGAAAACGCCGCATCGCCACACTCCATCGTTGTTCTCAAGAAGACCGATTTTATTTCTGTTTTGTTCTAAATCTGCTGAGGCGAAGTGTGAGGGCGGTTTAATTAAAGATTAAGAGAGCACGACCCCCCATCGGACCTACATTTCATTGGCCCCCAAATTTGCGTGACCTGGCCAGGATGGGGCTTTTTGCTGAGTTGCCTCATACAATGGCCTCTGGGAATTCACTGCCCCCATTCCCACTCCCACTCCCCTCAAAAAGTCCTGACGTCCCCTACAACTCTGCACTACTTCCTGTAATCATCCCCACATGTGGTGGTGGTATTTAGCCCCCTCTACCATGGCACACGTCATTAGGCTGAGCTTTGAGCAGGTCTACCTTGCTCCGGGCCAAAGGTGGTGGTGGTGGGGGGCAGAGTCACTTTCTTTATAGTAGTGGGGGGTGTTTGGAGGTGGGGGTTAATCAAGCACCAGCTCATTCATACCACCTAGAGAGGTTTTGACATACCACGGTAGTTGCAGCAGCCTACACATCGCCCAGCAGAAGCTCTCATCTATCCCTGGGACTGGCTTCACGTGAAGGGAGTGTCTGTAGGAGTGTTAGGAGTCAAAGGTCAAGCCTGTGAAAGCTGTAAATCCCAGAAGGGGACTGGCCTAGAGGTCAGCCAGTCATGGCGATTAGAGGAGCCAGCTACAAGATGCGAGAGAATCGGGGGTGGCACAGAAAAATCACCAATGGACCCCTGCGATGGGGGACAGACTCTATTGTTTTTCAAAAAGCCACTGTGACGACATGCGTGGTTTATTTTTCAGGATAACAGAAAGAACTTCCTCAAAGAGAAAGGATCAAACATATGAACCACATGGGACAATGCCTGTCCTGTTGACTGGAAGTCTTGGGTTTTGTTCAGGTGTATGTCTGCGTGTGCATATTTTTGTGTCGGCAGAGGCTGTTTGCATAATAGATGTGTTTGCTTACTGCAAGATTTTTTTTAAATGACAAATATAAATAAAAAAACTTAGATTTTCTAAATGAATTATTAGGCCTGAGATACTACGTTGTTCAGCCCCTCATCTATTTGCTCAAACAGTTGTGTTTGGTACTTTTAGCGGGCAAAAATCCAAAGAGTGGAAAGTAGATTTACGTCCACTGGGTAAAAATTTTACATTTATAGCTGCAGCAAACCTGAAAGAAGATGAATTTACCATAAATTTAAGATCGACTTCCAGTGGCAACAACAATGCTTTGGTTTGGAAGCTTTTTATGTTCATAAATGTCCTAAAATAGGAGCCTGCAGTTACACAGATTTCATACTGCTTTGTGTTGTCTTCATTTGAGCATCACAGCCAGTCAGTGAGATCGACTATTGTCTCTCAGCAACCACTTACAGACTCTTCTCGCTCATTTATGCCGATCTGTATTTGTGGGATTTCTGGGCGCTCCAGAGGCGCACTGGTGTGGAGCTGCACACAATAACTCTCTAACAGAGTTTCAGTTCTCTGCTTTTGTTGGCTGATTCCACATACATCAATGCTCACAAGGGAAACTCAGAAAATAAAAGAACATTTCTGGTAATTTTCAGACAGTTTTTCCAGTTTTGCCATTATTCGGATCAATTCACTGAAGATTTTACTGATTCATGTACAAAAAGAGGACAGTTTGGATTCTGTATTGCTGTCTGAATACAATTCATAGTTCCGAACTTCATCACGGAAGTATATTGCAGTGGCTACACTTACTTCATCAATAATCTTACATCTACCCATGATCAATGCAAAGACAGTGCTGCTCTCACCATTACTACAACCTCAGGAGTATCTCTGATTCTCAAATGTTTTACCTGGAGTCCTTGTCATAGTGCAAAAAAACTTTAAAAAGATGTGTCAGTTTAATACTATATAAGAATTAGAGAATGGCTTTTAAACTGAGTGTATATCCGGCTCACCTTATAACACATAACTTTTGTTGGGAGTCTCAGAAAACCAAGTTAATGATTGTTAATGTTAAAGCTCCTGTGGGGAGTTTTTTGAGATCTCCTCACAAACTGATATTCATACTGATGTCTGTTTACGATTTACAAAAGTATACACACAAAGTCCATCAGCAACACGATTGATTATTTATATTGTCATTATCGCATGCCTAAAGCCAGTTTGAGAGGGTAGGTCACAGCCAAGAAGTCAGAAACAGCTCTGAGTTTTACAAGCTTTAAACACCCTTATTTGTAGTAAGTTTGTGGAGTAAGAAACACATTAAAAGTAAAAATAAACATTGTATTATTTAATGATTATTGTATGCATACTTTTAATTAGATGCAACAAATTTAAAAACCTTGGGACAGGGTCAACTAAACACTAAAAAAGTTGTGTAATATCACATTAAAAAAAACCTATAGGGACATCCCACAACTAATTAGGCTAGGAGCATGATTGTGTCGAAGAGGAAAAGCGCTGTAGAAAATCTGTCAGACGTAAAGATAGGAAAAGGGTCACCGCTCTGTTAGAGGCTGCGTTGGCAAGCTCAACAATTTCAGAACGATGTTCCTCAAGTATAATTGCAAAGATTTGAGGAATTTTATTATCTAAAGTACATAACATTATCAAAATATTCAGTGAATTTGGAGAAGTCAATATACAAAAGGGACAAGGCTTAAAAACCAATACTGAATGGCTGTGAACTTCAAGCCCTCAGGCAGCGCTGCTCTCTAAACAGACATGTCTGTGTTCGGGCATGAATTGATTTGAAAATCACTGCATGGGCTCAAAACCACTCCCTAAAACAATTATCTGTTAACACACTTTGTTGCTGCATCCACAAATGCAGGTTAAATCCATGCAAAGAGGAAACCATATTTAATCGTGATCCAGGAATGCTTTCGATTTCTCTGATGGACTCGGGCAAAGTGGAAACTGTCCTGTGGTCTGGTGAATCCAAATCTGACATCCTTTCTGGGGATCATAGACAATGCTCTAAAGATGAGAGGGACCACCCAGTTTGTTGATCAGTGCATAGGAGTACACGTCCAGGCGCCATTCAAGCTAAACAACATATTCTGTCATCAAGACAATGACTTTTTTTAAGGGAAGACCTTCCCAAACCACATTATACATATGGTTAGAGCAGTTTGTGCTTTGGTGTGTTGCTCAAAGAAACACCAGAGGACAAGAGCAGCCGAAGATCATTCTTATCAACTGGGAGGGGGAATTTGCCAAAGATTGTATTTGGACTCAGGGTCATTTTAGGATGATATTCTTTACCAAAGTGATTGTAGGTTAAAAATAACACAACCTATCTTTTCACCCAAAGGTTATCGTGACATGCAAAACACTAAATGTTTCCACAGTTGGTGTAATAACGGCGCTTAATGGTCACTTCTGTATTCTTCCACCTTCAACAAATGTGCGGTCCAGCTTGCGATGAAGGGAAGGGTTACTGCCTCAATACTTTCCTACATACTGGGTTTTAATAAGGTCAGGAGAGAATCTGGCAGAGAATAATGGAGAAACATTTGCGGTTCTTATTATTTTTACACAGCCAACAGCCGAGTCTGTTGCACCACGAACAAAGAGGAGGTAAAGCCAGTGTAAACAAAGCGCAGAGGTTATCAGCCCTGTTAGAGTGAGAAGTTAAAAGATAATACACTCATAGGCTTGAGAAAATGTGAGGAAAATGGAAGGCTTTACAATCGCAGGAAAGAGGGTTTAATTAGCATTGATTTATGTACTATATATAGTTGTTATTTTTTGTGTTGTCAAGTGATTGTGATCTGTTATCCCAAGATTGATTGCTTCTCACTGCACCATTGCACCTGCTGAAATTGCTGAATTTCCTTTATTTAACAAAAGATATCACTTAAGAAAAATCACCCAATTGCTGATTTCAAATCAGACTTCTGCAAAGCACTGAATCAATGTGATGAATAAATTAGAGTTAAGGTGACCAAAGTAGATGCATTACACGGATACATCCTTTACAAGAAAACTCTTCACAGGAAAACCTGAAGCTGTGTCAGGTGAAGTCTCATTTTGTGTTGTTGTTGAACTAACATCAGTGCATGTTGGGAATGTTCCTTGGTTAAATAGAAATTTAAATTATGTTAAGCTGACTTGTCTAAGAGTAAATAAATACTCAGAAAATAACCCAAATTTAGCCGAATTTATGTAGCATGGCAAATCACAAGTGTTTGGGTAAACTGTGTCAAACTGTTTTGTGCCATCTTGAAGGTTAACGTTTCCATGCCAGTGCTACGCCAGTTTAACCAAATACACCCAACTTTTTCAAGGTCAAAATACTGTCAGACCATGCTTTGCAAAAAGACAACATCTAAATCCACATTATGGCATGTGCTCATAGTTGGAGTTTTGGTCGTATAGTAATGAGAATATAATTATTTAATTCAACTGCCCAGCAATTTTGGCGCCAAGTAATGTGTAAGGCTACCTTTTACCATTAAGTCAATCAAATGCGCACATCCCAAACACAGGCTGTGATATATTTTGTGCTGTTGGCTGCATAACGTGTTTCATGGACTTTGGATACTTTTACGTTTTGTGAATATTTACTGTGTTTAAACTAGTTTGTGCTTCACAGTAATATAGAAAACAATAAGATTGAGGACTCAGGTAAATTTTGTGTATATAAATGTAGCTGACAGTGTGTTTTCTACTCTCTGCACTGAGAGGTGTACTTTCATGTGTATATGAAACTGCATTCAACTTTAGATGTTGCCAAGAAACATCGCTCTGTTTACTCCCTAAAAACAAAACCCTTCATCGAGCTCTTACATAATTTAAGACTTCTGCAAATGTGCAGTGTCACCTGGGAAGATTCTGTAAATATAAAAAGGGATAGTGTTATTTTTATTCACAACGTCTCAACATGAGAAATAAACAAAGCAGATAATTTACTGATATTATCTGTTATGACTACAAACTCTTAATTCATCAGTCGTATGGCACAACAACTCTTCCTCCTACACACGCAGAGAAGTGTCTGAGGCAGTTAGTGTAAGAAATGAAATGTTTTAACCCAATTATTGAGGACAGAAACACTTTCCTGAATGAAACACAAACACTCTGAGGAGCTCCGTTATGAGTTAAGTCTCTGCCTTTGTCCGCACAATGGCTATAGAGCCTTCATCCTTCATCTAGGAAGCCTTTGCTCCCGTTCACACTCACACCGTGACCTCAGTCACCTCCAGACAAGTTAACTATTCCCCCTCCCGCACACGCATACTTACCCTTGGTCCAAACTAAGGGAGGATGAGTGGTGAACCACTTAAAACAAGCCGGCTGAAATAGAGGCGTACCCATCACCTCCCCACATTCACTTATTCCCTCTTAAATGAGGAGAAGTCAAAGACAGAAATTCTAATCACTTGCCTTCCCCTCCTGTTTTGTCCAGGGAGATAAATAAAGAATAGAATACGATTTGAGCCAAGGCCAAAGGCAGGGGAGGCACTCAAAGTATTGTTGGATGATCTCCACTTAGTGGAGGCAGGGGCTGAAAAGAGCCCTGTCTTGTTAGTTAGTGTGTAATGAACAACTTTCACAAGCCAGTTGGTCAATGGGAATCACAGCGCTCCATTCTCGCGCTCTTAGAAATTCACATTGAAGATGGCTGGCACGTTACCGACTCGCCTTTAAACAAATAATGAATGGATTAATACTAATATCATGATAAACAATTCGTTTTTATCTGCGATGTTTGTCTCATATTGGTCACCAGAGACCTGAGCTGCATCTTTCATGTAGCTGGTTAAAAGGAACCAGAGTGGAGGCGTACAGAGGCTAAAAAGGGACCGCCTCTGTTTAGTAATGACTCTCTCTCTCTCTATCTTTTCATATGACCAGACCTTTCATTCCATCCTTTTCACCACAAAAGAAAAAGAAAAAAGTTTGTCAGTCCCCTGTTCCTTTTGTTGTGTGCTTTCTTCTCCATGCTCTTTCTACTTTTATCCTAATCCCAGCCATGCATGAGCGATCAGTTGTGTCCTGTTGTTTCACTGTTCTGCTAGTTTTCAATCAGTAGGGTTCCTCCTTTGTTCCTTTTCTTTGCCAAACATAGAAAAAAGGTGAGGAGAGGAACGAGTAATGAAATCTCCTCTGTAGACTCGGGCCTTTGTATCCCTGATCAGGATTTTTAGATATAGCTCTGACTGTAATTAAGGGAGATTGTTGCTGTGATGCTGCTCTCCGCTGCCTTTCCTGTTGCTCTTTGGAGAGTTAGGGGAAAGGCTGCATCAAAGCTTCAAGCTGGAGTCCAGCAATCATGGAAACTGCACTGTTTTGATGTATAAATCCAATAAAAAATCATCAGCGGACATCAGAACGTGTTGAAAACCAGGACCTGACAGGCCGAGACGTGACTGTTTTTGTCTTCAAGAGACAAACAAGACGGCAGAACATCAGAAAATCTACCTGACACCAAAAAAAGTGAATCATGAGCCGACTCCTGCAAGACAACACTCTGGGTTGTACTTAAGACACCTCAGCAGATGCTTTGATCCTCCTTGGAACATTTAGATAAAAGCTTAAATCAACTGTTTTTGCTTTTATACTTTCGTCCAAATGAAAGTCTGGTTGTTAAAGACCGATTCTGACTCCCAACATCGCTGTACTTTTTAATGTGTGTATTCAAAGAGCTCTACAGAACACGTTGTCCAGTGTGCAGACTACTGCTGTGTGCTTTTGCTGAGGTGATGGTTATTAGCGTGATCATGGTGCTATGCTCTCCATATGGGCTCAGTGGGGACAGAGGCTGAGGCCCGCTCAAAGGGACAGTCATTGTTACAGGCTGATCTCTAATCTCTGTGGTTGTCTGCCCTAATTAAAAGTCTTGTGAGTGTGTAGGGTGCCTGGGCCTCTGCTCTGCAGGAAATTATGATCGCAAACGTCTTCCTGTAGAGTCCTGCACTTGGCACTACAAAGTGACGCGGGCCGCCGTTACCTGAATGGGCTGGAATCAGAGCAGACAGCCGCATCATCCCAGCTCTTAGTCTATCAGGCCGTGCACAAGTGGCCATTGTTGACGCCAAAAACGGGATTAAGGAGGGTCTTCAAGGGAATTGATTTTCATGTGAGAACAATAGTGGGGCGCAGAACACTGGGGCCTGGGTCTGAATCACACGGCCAAAGAGCTTTATGAAAAGGGGTGCGCCGCGAGCACTGAGATTAAAGCAATCAGGTTCTTTACCCCCACTCTTCTTGGATAACCCCCCTCCTCCCTCTCCCTCTCTCCCTCATCCCTCTGTCCTTGTCCTCTCCTCTCAGTAATTTTAGCCCAAATAATGACCACAGAGGAAGAAAAAGAGGCACAAGTTGTTTACTTTTCCCCCGCGTTTCCTTTTTCACTTTGGTCTAACAAAGGTTCAAGGGCCATCGACAGGGCGGAGGTATGTGGATCTCGTTTGCAGAATGTCTGAGCAGATTCTGGACACTCTGTCCAACGCCGCTAAGAGCCAGGCCAAAGGCTCATCTGTGTGTACAGAGAGAAGCTGTAGGGAGTGGGTTTCTAGGCTGGGAGGCGACATGGTTCTTTGGCGTTGGGGTGAACATGACGTGTCACTGAGAGGGGATCAGGGGTTACGGATAAAAGGGACGGCCGCCTTGTCCTCTGTCTTTGGCCGACTGCGTGCAGCTGTGGGCACCATTGTGGACGAGCTCATTTGCATACGTTTGGCAGGAGCTCTGGGAGGCAGCGCAGGCCAAGAGGAGCCGTCCTGTTTAAAATGGAGGCGAAAGGGCGGGCAAGTAGACACCCAGTGTATGCAGATACATACCCATACATTATGTGCCCTACAGTACACACAACAGCAGCGTCCAAGAGAGAAAAAAGGCTTGTTAGTCCAGTGTCAACATGTAAATACAAACAGAAGAGAGCAAGAGTGTAAGTTGTACTCTGGTGGGTGATAAGGCCATGTCACCCTGATGTCATAATGACAGAGCGACGACTGAAGGAGTGTGCTGTGTGGGGCTCTTGGCCGGCGGCGGAGGGGTGTGTCCTACCCTGACTAGAGACAGGTTTATTGGGCCTGATGAGTGCTAAGCTCCTGTGCCTAGCCACAATGGAGCCTGTGATCTCCCTTTGTGGCTCATTGGGAAGCACTGGTGCGCTCGGCAGCCCCCGCTCTGTCATTAGACAGATTGTGAACAGGCTGCACAAGGCCCAGCCAGGGATGACGGAGCCACCAGCCACTTCATTAGGGGCATTATGAAGAGGACTGAAGCTTTCTTCTCTCCGCCTGTGTCCAGAATTCACAGGTCTGTTTAATCACATAATTCTCCTCAAGTGCCCCAAGGAGGCTGCGGCACAGCAAGGGCCCTTTAGACCCATGACAACTTGGAGAGATTAATTATATTCATCTTTTGGAATATCTGCAGAATAAGAGGGAATTTGATATTGGCCTCCTTTTATTTTTTCTTTCCTCTCGTCTTTTTCCAAGCAGCCCTTTGATGTCCTCCTGTTATTGTTGGGGGACGTCTGTGCAACCCTCTGCTGACGGAGCTTTGATATGCTCCAGCAGGGGTTAAGGGTTAGCGTCCAGAGGTCCAGGGCCAGGATGTCCCAACTTCTGTCTCGAAAAGCGCTGACCTCTGGACCTGAGGGTTGGTCAGAGAGACTCCAAATTCCGCCTCCCTTTGATGCACGTTCTTTCACAGTGGTTAATTAGCCAGGGTGGCTAAACGTTTAGCCTGGGCGTGAAAGAGTCTGGGCTAGCATGTGTGTCCAAGACATTGCCCGCTTTTTTTTGTGTGTGTGTCACAAGGTCTTTTGAAACAATGTGGTTCTTGGACGACTTGTTTGCATAGCATAGAGGGTGAATGCTGCCGTCTTTTCACCAGAGCTCATTCACCGGGAAGAGTTTGGCGAAGGCCTTTCTTGTGATGAAGAGAAGCCCTTGACATTTAACTCATTTCCTCTAATCAACGGTGTGATTTCCCTCTTTTTTCTGCGTCTTTGTTTGCGCTATGTTGAAGGAATCTATCCTTAGGAGATAGAAGAGGCTCTTATCTGGCAAGTGGCCATTGCAGCTTGTGAATCACTTCAAGTCACTGCGACGTATCTCCCCCTGATCTTCATACAGTCTTTAAGGGGTGTTAATACACATATACTGAGGATTTGGCTTTCATCTTGTTTCCAGTGAGTGGTCAGGGTTCCAAGCAAGATCTAATTTCCTCTGCCTTATATTCTAACAACTGCAGCCATGAACCAGACTGGTAGCTTCAGCTGCAACATGCTTGATTCATCACTACTTAAATGTCTGATCATCGCTACTGCATGTCAGGAATGATAACTTCCCTGCGTGTCAGTCGCAAAGTGGTGAGTCAAACTTGTTTGAATTCGCACAAGCAGTAAAATTCCCCTTTGCCTCCTCGCCCTGAGTTCAGAGACCCAAAATAATGAATATTATTCGTGACTGACCTGATTTAGTATCAGAAATTCTTCTGATAAACACATCTGCACCTTGACCTGTAAGTACAGTCAGCGATTAAGCACCTGCAAGTTTTCTAAGTTTCCTTCTCCTACTAAGTCTTCTTTAGCCTAAGGCAACCTTCAATCACTTGCCCACAGAGCAACATCAAATAAAATTTCATTTCATGTTGTTTGTGCTCGGGTAAAGGGAGGAGGGAGCCAGGTTGGGTCTGGTTGATATTGTAGAGATATTGATCTGCTATTGAGTGCACCCTGTGTCCAGACAGTTTCCATCCCCAGGGACCCAAACGCTAAATCATGCTCTCATTTGAGGCTAACGTGTGTGCCTGCAGAGTTGCCAGAGCTCTCAGGGTAGAGACAAACTTTAAAGTAAAACACTGTCGGTCTGACTCTCTCTCTCTCTCTCTCTCGCTCTCTCTCTCTCCTGTCTTCAGCTCTGCATTAGTCTCTTCCTGAACCTTATATTGATTCAAACGTAACGTCAGCCACTATAAACTATGATCTTAAAGACGTGTTCCCAAACAAGAACCTTTTGTCTTAACAAGCATGAAAGGATTTTAGGAGATTTACACTCTGCCTGTGATTTAAACATCAAGGCTTAACCTATTTCTTTATGAAGGAGTTGCAGGGGATGGAGCTGTGCTCAGCGTATAACTTGATGATTCACTCATTTGTGGATAACGTCAAGGGAAAAAGCTTTAATCGTTTTGCAACCTGCGGATATTTATTTGTTAGATCAATCATAATGCTTCTCATGTAAGATCATGCGGTTTCATCTAATAAAGGGAACTTAAATAAGGTGTGGGGCATTCTTCGAGCTGCGAAAACAGATTTATTTTGGATTAGAAATCATGGTGAAAGACCACAATTGTTTTATATCATCTGCATATGATGACATATTGATTACTTTTTTGGGATTGTTACGTAACATCTGAACAACCCAGTGTTTGAATTGTGACGTGGCTAATTTCTGGTGTCTTTTCCTGTATCTTGTATGAAGTTGTCGGTCTAGAGAGGCATTTGTATGCGTTTAGCACTCTCTGAAACATGTTCTCCTTTCCTGATGATTGCTGAAGCTTGTAGTCTCTCCATGTGTGCTGTTTTGTTTGTGCGACTGTGCGCATGTCTGCAGTTTACTTGGTAGTCAGGACAGGTTTTGTGCTGTTCTCCAGCTCGGCCACCTGCAGCTGGGGATCGATCAGCACTCTGGCACCTCAGCCTAACTACCCCCACCCCCAATCAGCCGGCCCACCACCTCCAGAATCTCTCCCCATCCCTGGCTGTATCAAGCAGACCAACAGGGGGCTGCCTGTTTCTTCATTTGTCTGCTGATAGTCAAGTTTACATTCATGCTCTGTCAAGGTGCTGAAACCAGTATGTCTACACAAACTCACAAAACCATCGACCGTTCTCGTTGCTTAAGCTACTGCGTGTACAGATGCAGGACAGTTAGTGAAATGGTGGATAACATACAAATGTTTTCAGGCACTTGCAATGAAATTGTACTTTTTTTCTCCACATATATGACAAGAAAAAGGGTTTTAGATACTGGTTTACAGCACCACTTTACCTTTTAGTCAGCCTTTCTCAGTACAGTACATGACTATTTGATGAGGGCTTTATAACACTCCTGTTGCTGCAGATTAGTTCTTTATTCATGTATACAAAATGGAAATTGATGCTAAAACAGTAAATAAAACTCTAATAGTCTTTCAACAATCTTGAATATATATATTTAGAGGTAGAGGTTGATATTTATTTTCCCAAGTTGATCCTGCTTCTTGTTGGTTAAAACCTGTTTTATGCTGCTACTTCTTTGCTGTCATTTTCTCTCCTAATGCAATAAACCTGGGCTGCACAAGTCCTACTCTATAATTTTATATATTTACCAAGTTACAGTTTCAATTTACTTTTTCACACAGTTAATTGTTTTGGTTCAGAGTACAACCTAAATGTGTTCCCCCATGTGCACCAATGGATCTTTTAAAGACACTGTAAGGAGTTTTTGAGTGGTGGCGAAACAGACTGAAACTAATACTGGTGCCTCCATATGACCTCCAAAAGTAAACAAGACTATCAGAACAGGACTGATGTTTTCTTCGTTGTCATTTTTAATACCTGAAATCGCTGTGTGGGGCTAGGTGTAAGAGCAAGGAGCATGAGATGGCACACCTAATTTACATACAAGATAGGTGATACTTACACCACACACAGCCAGCCAGAGATAAAACATGAAATTCAATATACAATACTGGAATATTACGACCCTGTTTTATGATGTCCATGTTGTAGGCAACAAGGATATCATAAAACGCAGCAAATACAAACAAATCAGCTTTTGTACATTTGTTAATTTTCTCCTGAGAAGGGCTGGGCACAAACTCATCTATGGAAAGCTCCATGTCAGTTTTGGTTTGGAAAATAAGGGTAAGCTTATAAGAGCAAGCTGTGAAAAATAGCTTTTTGGACTTTTTTTCATGGTGAATACATTAAATACTGGCAGTAAGTAATGTGTTTCACTGTTTAAAGAAGATAGGATTAAGTTTTGTCTAAAAAAAAAACTACTTTTGTATGCATTGCACAAGAGAGAAGAGGTATGTCTTTGTCCACAGGGGGCGCCAAAACTTGCACACAAACCAAAAGTTCCTCACAGCAGCTTTAAATCCTTGAAAAACATGCAAATTAAAAATACCAGCAGACTTATTTTGTCTTCTTCTGTTGTAGAAAGTGAAGACAAAAGACTCTTACTCTTTGGAGCCAAAACACGCACAGGAGAGATCTGACTGGTGGAGCAGAGAGATTGATGTCATACCTCTTTGGCCAGTGTTGAGCAAGTTCGCACTATAGTGAGCTTGCACAAAGTTCACTTCACACAAATTTAATATCTAGTTTGCATTCTTTTTTTGACCACACCTAAATTCTTCGTCAGAAGAGCCTCTTAAGCTTTGATCCCCACCCCTCATTGATATTTCCTAAACTAAATGGATGGAAGCTGAGAAAACCCAATTTGAGTGTGTTTTACTGCTTAAACAAGGGAGAAAATCTGCGGCTTATAAATCTTTGCAACACACATAGCTAAATCTTGTTGGCTGAATATTTTGCTGAAGATTCAACTATAACACTCAATTACACAGGGAAAATTCTGCTCCGTAAAAGAAGATGTGGTTTTCACATCCCCTAAAATGACATTTTCAAGGGTAAAATAATAAGAACAAACAAAAAATGAATTATTTTCCATTTTCATACAACTACACCTACCCTCAACCACACTGGTGCCCTGGCCCATCCTGTATACAGCCCAAACCATGTCCAGTACATGCTGGGTGCCGTGAATCCCACTTCAGCCGCTGCAAAACACAGAGCTCAGCAACTCTCTATCCACTCCAGATCTTCCTGTAATTTAAGCGGTTGTTCACTGTCTCTGAAGTGAACTACACTTGAGTTGCAAATTGAGCGGTTCGTCAAAAAAAGAGCACTTCACCTCGCTGATTAAAAAATTATCAGGTTGCCATAATGTTTGTTGTTTGAAGTGGGCACTCATGGTTCAAGAAAGTTCAACTGTCGTGATGTCCATTGTAGTTTGTGCATTTACATGTTGTTCAAAATAATTGAGTCATTGCAATATTCTGACTAAAATTGGACTCTTACAAAACATGTAAATTCATTAGTCAGGCTTAAATAGCACTACACTGAACTTCTCATTGTTGGACTTACATACCTTGATAATGAGATTGGGGATCAATTTTCTCCTCCACGTATACATGGCTCAATCAGACTGAAACTGACCTCGGTGTTTTGCGCATGCTCCTGCGTTTGCAGGCCAGGCTTTGACACAGAATTTAGATAACATGAATGTGTTGTTAGGAAGCTGGGCAGTAAAAAAAAAAAAAACCTTGACAGACGTTAAAGAAGGATGTTAAAAAAAGACAAAACTCTCCTATTGTACAAATTACGTTACAGACCTGCCTCTTGTTAACCTCTTGCTAACATGTATTTGCCTAATGTTTTGATACAAAATAGGCTAACTTGGAGACAACCAAATAGTATTGAGGTGAAAGGGTTCATTTCCTTGAAGTAATAATCACCATATTAATCATTTTGCACTGCAGACGCTGTAGTTCTTCTGCCTTAGCATCTCGGTCTGATTCCATTTCCATGATGTAAAAATCATAAATGTTCTTCTTTGAGCTGCGAAACTCCGCTGCACTCAGTGATCGATTTGTCTGGGCTCCCCCCACAAACAAGCGGCTGCTGGAGGAGAGTGGGTGAGTTGTGTTAAGTGTCTTTGCTAAAGAAACCAATCAAAGCTAAAAAGATGTTTGGTGGCTAGCGCTATGGCTGGGACCCTATATGTACTGTTGATGAAGTTAGGTGCTGTTCTGAGCATTATTTGTGGCTATAGAGTGGTGTTTTGGTTGAAGTGTGCACATGGAGTGGTAGACTGCTGTGTATTGCTATTGTGTGGTTGTGACTAAAGTTGGTATAACTAGAGAAGCAAGCAGTTGGCAACATTCATCTCTCGAGGGGGTGTCTAACTCGGCGTTATGGTGTGTTTGACCCTAAATTAATTTTACGCCGGAATATCCCTGTAACTGTGCATGTAAACATAATGGTCTCTTCTCTACTCTGCTAGCCTTGGGAATGATGCTGCAGGAGCCTTTTCACAATAAAATAACTGATTTCTCCAGTCTTTGAAGAGGGCTGGTATGCTACACTATGCTACAGTACAGGGTGCAGCCATTTCTAGATCTAACCCCTGGTGTAATGGGACTTTCTGGCATATTAATGCTTATTTTCAGCAGTTTCCAAATTACATTACCCATTACCCTTACAAAGAGCACTTAATTCACTGAATAGTACTAAAAGTCTCTAAAAAATGAATGTTTACTCATGGACCTGCACAATAAGACTGATGGTCACGACAGAAGGCTTTTTTTATATTTAATGTGTGTTTTGATTTTGTAATTTGTCTTATGTTTTAAATGTTATAAAGGAAGATACAGGCTATGTGAGCTGTACCGCAGCCAGCCACCAGAGGGGGCTCTAAAAGTTTTGGCTTCACTTCGGGATCAGTGTTTTGCCGTCCAGGTTTTTATACAGTTTACACTTGAAACACTATGCCTGTTTGTGTTGAATCCAAACCCTGAAACTAAGACGCAGATTTGGAAAGCTGCTCGCTCAAATCCCTCTTATCTCCTAACTCCTACACCTCATCAGCCTCGTTGTGGCACACGAGTTTTGACAAGAACAAACTGGTCCTGCTGTAAGAGTGGAGGTTGTGCCAGACCCTTACAAGGTGCTCCCTGCTGCAGATCGAGAGGAGAAGGAGAAGTTTCCCATTATCAAGGCCTCCCCCTTAATGATGAAAGTAAACAACATGAACAGGAGTGTTTAATATTTCATGGCCCACCCACAGGTGCAGCGGTGTGCCGGGAATAACACATACATCCACTCATACGGATGTGGGCCTGATTAAGACGAGGCTGCTGTCCCCTGCAGTTGGTCAGCTCTCCTGTGTATGTGTGTTAGGTGTGTGTTAGGTGTGTTTGTGTGTGTGTGTGTGTGTAGGGTCTTGAACATATTTGCTGCCTCAGTTTTTTTTACCCTCCCTCCTCCACCCTCTCTGTGGTGATATACAGAACATATGGGAAATTATTGCGGGTTATAAAGGGCTGTTGAATCCAGCAGACATGCAATAAATTAAGCTGTTTGTGCAGGGGGAGGAAAAACACAGGCTCTTTAGGAACACTTAGAGCAGATTTCCTGTACACACTTAACTCTCCTCCTCTCGCTCCTTCTTCCTCTCTCTCACTCCTCCTCTTACCCCTCCAGCCACAGTCCCTGCGTCTCCTCCCGACTCCCCTCTCGCCATTGTAACGGAGGCCACAGCACAGGCTCATTCTGTTCTCCTAGTTGGTGGTAACACAGTGGGATATATCTACACAATTACACACATAAAACTCGTAAAGCCTGGAAAATATTTTAATAGTTTCCGCACCCCCTTAGTGGCAACAAGCTGCATGTGCAGAGCCGGTGAGCGGCACCAACGTTATTGGCGCAATTAAATGTGAAACACAAGAGAGGAACACGGGGTGGGGAGTGGGAGCCCAAAATGGCTGTAAACAAGGAAAATGACACTTGACAAGTTGTAATTTATGGACGCTGTTTCAAAGGAGAGAGACTCACCATTCCTGCACTGGTGGAGGAGAGAGAATAAGGCACAAGGATCCAGGCATTAGAGGAACTATGCACAGAATGTTAGTGCATCAAAGCCACACAGAGACAAAAAAAGGGAAAGAGAAAGCTGTGACTTCAAAGTGGAAGCATGATGAGCAATGCACAGTGAGAGAGAAACCAAGAGAGAGGCAGGAAGTGTGTGTATGTGTGTGTGTAAAAGAGAGAAAGAGAGCTTTGCAGGATGATAGCACCCAAAGCAGGCATGGGATGATGGGGATGGGGATGGGGGGCGTTGAGGTGGTGGGGAGGCCCCTGGATACAGGCGTACTCTGCTCATCTCAAAGAATGCTAAATCACGCACACACACACACACACACACACACACACACACTCACTCGTGCTGTCTGGGGAAGAGAAGCCATTAAACAGAATAGAATAGGACTGGAGCTCTCATACCCCAAATCCATCTAGAAACAAATCAGCGTCACCATTTATGTGTTTACTCTCTCTCCAAAATGAGGACAAAACTGAACCAAAACAGTCACTGGAAATAAGCGCACGGAAAAAAAGAGTCATAGTCATGCCTGATGTAACCATCTAATGTCTCCTTTAGCAGCAGCGGCAGAGGCCAGATGTTTACAGGGATAGTTACACTTTGTGTTTTCACTTCAAAAATGCTTGTTTAACTAAGTCAGCGTACAGTATACCAACGCATTTAGATTGTACTGTCAGCGCCAATTCAAAACAATCCAATTGATGTCTTTGTGCAATAAAAAGTGTTTCTAGATGAGAGGGCCTGTTCTTTGAAAGAGCTGTATGTGAATCCTCAGAAACTCGAACCATAAAACTCATCATAATGTCATTTTTAATCTATTTTACTCCCTTCATCAGGACCGAGGGCCAATTTTCACAGAACATAGCGCACGGTTCTTAACGCACCCCTGTTTCTTATCTGCTTTTCAAGAGTGACATTTTAAAATCCACATTATAAAGACATCTAATGTATGTGCGGCACTTGTTCATCCAAATTATTAGCCCTGCTGATGGCACCGAACAGGGAAAATTGTTTAATTTTAGCTGACGGCAATCACTTTCCTTGACAGCAAGGCTTCTCTTAAATGTGATCCATTTGTTTGCTTCAACTCCAGCAGTGGACCCAAGGAAGTAATGAAGATTACCCAAAATGTGAGAGTCCTCGCAGCAGATATGGAAGCCCCTCTGCCACATAAATATACAAGTTAAACTGGCAGTGTAGATATCCTGTAATTTGCAAAATGACAAGATGCTTGTCTGATGCACCGAGCACCTTCAATTGCAGCTCATTAACTCAGTCAGGGGGAAGCGTTCTACAAGCATGCAGAAAAACTATTAAAATACTTCCATTAACTGGAAGAATAAATATCCTGGTTGCAGCCCAAAGTGTCTTCATTTGGGCTCAAATGCGAGATATGCCGTTGCTATGGTAATATGGCAATGGCTGTAGCCCTCCTCCCAGCTGTTGGTGGTTTTTGTGTGAGTGAGAGAGAGTGAGAAAGAAAGAGAGAGAGAGACAGTGTGTGGCTGTGTGTTTGTGTGTGTGCATGCATCCATTGATGCTGCCTCCGTGCTGTGTCCCCCCTTTCAGTCTTCAGAATAGTGTCTCTACTAATCCGTGAAAGTTGCGGCGCTCTGAACCAGTGGCCAAGCCTTTTCCCACTGAACCACGGCCCAGGGTCTGCGCTCAGCTTTACACTTGATTGGTCCCTCCTGTGGCAGGACTCCCCTCCCCGCTGGGCGTGGGCCCGTCCCCCTTGCTGGGCTGCTCAGCGCTGCCTAATCGCCTTCTCCCCACCATAATTACCAGCACTGAGCCCAGGACTCACCAACACACCATTAAAGTCTGGGCAGCCAGTCCTCGGCAGTCCTCACACATGTAGCACTTACACAGGCCCAGAATTGGGCCTAAGACCAGGCCCGGCTCCACCAGCACAACACCTGTTCGTGCCTGGTGATGCCCCGCAGCACTGTGGACTTGGCTGCTGAGGCTGCTGGGTAGGAAAATGAGAGGGGGTTGGCAGCTGTGCTGTTGTCCTCCTCCCCCTGCAGTGGAGGTGATGTGTTTATTTGGGCTGGGATGCAGCAGTGAGAAGCTGTGAGAGGTAACTATCTCCTTGTTGTGCTGTACAGAGTACCCGAGAATCCACCCTGCAGAGACACAGCCCTTTGATATGTGACCACTTCAAACCCACACATACAATGGCAGCAGTCAGAGATGGAAATAGCCAAAGTTGATGTTGTGTGGGCAAGGTAGGACGAATTTGCTTTGCTGAAAACCAACCTTGAACTTTATTTTCCAAAGTATTTTCAGCACAGCAGATACAAAACATTTTGTAGATTCAGGACGTCGACAATTTTTGGAATATGTGCAAATCGGAAAAAAGAAATACTCCCAATTTCAATTTGGTTGCACCCACCCAAGGTTTGGAAATTTCAGGCGATTGCACCATTGCTTAGAGCATATGGGACAGGCCAGGTGAAACGCAGTGACCTGGCAAACAGTCCAAAGACTGATGAGAGCCGGGTACACGTCAGAAGGCACTGGGTGTGCTGGCACAAACAGTACCCAGAATGTGGATCAGACAGACACCCAGCACTCGTTAGCTTATTACTCTCTTATTAGGAACATTTTTGCCTTGCATGGATTGGCAGAGTCCCGCTAGCCACCCTCTTCACATGGCCCAGGCTCTGTCAGAGCTGATCAAAAGACATTTCTTCACATCTCCAGACGCCAGGGAAAAAAGGAGAAGAAAAGAGGGAGAGAAGAAAAGAGCCAGAAGGGGGCATACTGCTCTCTCTTTACTCTGGTCTTTTGGTGAATGAGGACTTTTTTTTTTACAATGCCCTCTCCTTTTTCTTTATTTTTTCATTTTTCCATTGGCAGAAAAAAAAGAAAGAAAAAGGGGAAAAAAAGAGTATTTCCCATCGCGTTTCGGCAAATTGTTTTTGCCATATCAAAAACAATTGTCCTCAGGTGAAGAATGGGCCTGCAGAATTACAACCATTCCAGGGGGAGAAAGAGGTCTTCACAAATCTGACTGGCTTCCAGGCAGCCAAGACCCCCTCGAAGTGGTAATGAAAAGTGTAACTTTAGCCTCCCAGCTGTACGTCTCAATCCATAATCCTTCCCCAAAAACCTCACGGTAGAGCCGCCTACCACTCCCATGGCGTTCCCAGCCTGTGCCGGGCTGGGCCTGCTCTGATTTATGTGGCAGTCCCGTGTCATACTCTCAACCTGAAAAGGATTTGCTCTCCTATATTTACCAGGGTGGTCAGGGCAGCTCTCTGGAAACACAGAAAGCCCAGTGTCCGGGCCTCTTCCCCAGTCAGTCCTCTCACCCCTCTGTGCCAATAAGATGGACGTTTTGGACCGTACCAGAATCAGACGAGGCTCTAGTGTTTCCATAGTGCTGTGTTTCAGCAGTGCAGAGGTGAGTCTGTGTGGGCGTGGGTGTGTTTTTGTGGGGGGACAGAGCTGTCTACAGTTGCTGATTTCATACCTGGAACTTATAGGCGTGTCATAGCATACAGGATTGGTGGCACGGCCTGCAAAGTGACGACGGCCCATGCATAAACCTCTGAAACGCAGACAGTCCAAACTGCAGCATGTTTCAGCTATAAAAACTTTTCTATTTCCTTGATCTGGGTGCGTTTATGTGGTCATTTTCAGCTGCTGTTTCATAAAAGTGCAATGATTTTGGGGAAATCTTGTGCATGAAATTGTCCAATCTTCATCATTTCTATTTCAAGTTCAGAAAAAGTGATGGTAGCCCAAGCCAATTGCGACTGCGAAACACTCGATTAAAAATGCATTGATTTCTAGTGAATTATTCTGGCAAAGTTAAAAAGGAAGACGCTAATTGGTAGAACTATAACTAATTGATGACGTATGTGTGAATTGCAGATTTTCAAAGAGTTGAAAGACATTGGAGGGAGCCGTCTGCAGCTGCTCCGTCCATCACAGTTTTTCTCCTCTGTGGTGCAAAAAGTACAGATTGTGCTACTTACCAGTACAGCGTGACTAAAGATGCAGTAAGAGTTGCGAGCTGAACGTGTGTGTGGGTAGGTGAGCTGCTGTGGGTGGATAGACGGTGGTCCCCTCTGCCACTGTGCATCCACTCCAGTCTAGTAAACAAGCCAAGGTGACCTGTGGACAGCTGGGTTTATACATCCTGTGGCTGGTTGTCTACGTAGTGTGGTGGTGGGAACAGCGGGTGGTTGACGCAGACTCTAAGGAAGGGATCAGCTCATCCTATCTTATATGTGTGTGTGTGTGTGGAGGTGGGGGGGGGGTGTATGTGTGTGTGCGTGTTGTGCCCCTGTTCTACGTGCGTGCACGCGGATGTGTCTTGTATGCATGTACATTACAGTGACAGCCACTTGGTTAACACTAAATACTGTCTTTTACATTCAGAGCAGGAAATGAGAGCATTACTGCGAAGAACATGCAGAGCAGGCGCCTCGCTCAAATCTTATTTTCCAGCTAGAATTTCACCAAAAAGCACAAATGAAGAGATCTTGTTTCTGCGAAATGTCTAGAAATTGGCGTTACAATATCCTGAACAGAATTTCACAGAAATACGACATGACCTTAAAAAAAAGACATTTTGACCAGCGCAAACGCAGACAAAATGGCCGCTGTGGCTAAGCTAACAGGGAAGGAAGAAGATGGAGCTGATACTCCTTGATTGCTGTTTCACATTCGTTTAAAAATCGTAACGTTTTCATTTTCACGATCCTAGCGAGCAGAAAACCTCCAGCTTGCACGCTGCAGCAGGTTTTTCTTAAAATCACACCCTGTTTGCTTTATTTTATAACCACTCAGCCCACATCGCAGCTGCAGGTTGACTTTTAAACATTTAATTTAAGTGTCCTCAGCGGTGGATCGTTCACAATTTGGAGGAAAATGGGTATATTAAAATTACAGCAAAAACTTCAACAGATTCGGGTACAAGAATGTGTGATGACTCTAAATATTTTCAGCCAGAACAGTGAGTTATGGGATGAGTAAAATGTGACAGCTTCATATGAAAGTCTGTTTGAGTCTTTAGAGTTGAAAGGCCTCATAGTATGACACAAGGAAAGCCTTCAAATTTTTTATCCCTTTTTTTTTTTCTCCCTATGCGGTAAGTTTGGGAAATCATGTGAGAGACGGATACGTCTGATAACTTTCTCTTCCAGTGTACTTTTTTTTTTTTTTCACAGTGATGTCAAATTTCTAAAGTGTAGATTAAAAGGTGACTGTACTTTTGGAGTTTTATGGTATACTCCTCACTCTTGAAAGTTATTTTTTAGGCAGAGAGAAAGACACAGAAAAGGAAAAGGGGAGATAAAGTTGTTTTTTTCAAGTTTTTAAATATAAAGAAGTACAATACTTTTTTTCAACAGCTACATTTTATATCAATGTTATAATTAGACTTCGGTGCTACTGATAATCACTCGGATAACACAGCAGTTAGATAAAGTCAAATGATTGATATGTGCACATTTTCATTGATAGAAAACTTTGCCTGCTCTTCTCACTTTTAATAACTGAGGTGAAAAAACCACAAAAGCTTTGTAAGGAGTTGTAGGTATGTGTTGTGTGGATGTGTAAGTGTCCTGATAAGTAGGAGGGACTCTGCTGACAGTTCAATATCCTCTCAACATGAACACACCACAAACAGATGGTCTCTTTTCATTCTGAGAGAAACTGAGAGAAGTTTCAATCTCGCACAAACATCTGATTTGACTCTGTTTTTTGATCAAAAACTCAGCTTCTTATTTATCGTTGCATATTATACGATTATGATGAGAGCCTCTCGTTCCCGGCGATGCCCCTTGAAGAAATAAAAAGACTTGAAATAAAAGAATCTTCTGCCAGTTAGATGCCACCTTGAAATGGAGAGCTAATGAATTTCATTGTCTTTTGATGCTGCAACTGAAGTTTTTGCAAATTGCAAAACAATTGAAAGAATTACAAAGAAACTTACAAACAGATGGCTTCTTCAACAAACAGCTAAATGAACACAAAGTGAGCTTAATCACATCTCCGCTGTTCTATCACGTAGCATTTGTCTGACATAAGCTAAAAAAGTTGATCAGTGTGCGTGTAACTTTCTTTTCTCCATCTGCTGAAATAATAATAATAATTTTAAAAAACCTATTATGTTGACAAACAGAAATTACCCGTTGATATAAAGTTTGGATGTGAAAGAGACACTAAAGGAAATTCAGACGTGTACGTAGAAACTCTGTTTTTTTAAATTATTTGAAGACGTCTGTTTTAACAAGATTAGAAATACTATTTTATTTTTACTTGACAACGTGTTTTTATATTGGATTTTTCCCATATCTTATTAAATGCCCATTTTTAATTTTAAGTAGTTTTTTAAAATCGTAATAAATGCAAATAAAATTCTGTTATTTTTACTAAAAGTGATAGAAAGTCTCTTATCGCAATTAAGATAAAAGAAAAGTGTTTCTCCTCTGAGGCAGAAATTTAAATTATTCTTTTATAAAGTAAAATAAAATTGAGTATAACAGGAACAACACCTTTTAAATACACCACAGCAACATAATTAAAAAATTAAGATCTTACTATTATTTTGCATTTGATTTAAAAATCAACAGTAAAGCAGTTACGCATATTTGTGTGATTAAAAGTTTATCACTAATATTTAAATCATATTTTACAATTTATTATAATTCAACACAATCTCTTTTTCATGTTTCCGCTTTGACTGAAATACTTTGTTTTTAAAAAATTGTAAATTCACTGTCCGTCTTCTCGGAAAAGACATCTCTAAAATGTGAAAGAAAACGTGTTTTATTTTCTGGATCTGAATTGCCTGAAAGCTATGTGCTGTTATTTTTGGTGCCAATCTAAATACCTGGAAAGAGGAATCAGAGACGGTGATAATGATGATAGAAATGATAATGATGATGGCTGAGAGTGCTGGAGACTTCCTGTGCTTCCACTGAGGTGCAAGGAGGAGGCCTGCTAATAAGGCACAGAGGCCCCACTTTTCAGTCTTTTCATTGAGTTGAGTTTAATTAATTCTCCTGAAGTTTCTGGTCACATTTTCCTTTAAATGAAACATAAATAAGTCCAAGTCATAATTCTAGTGCACAAAAGAAGCGTGTCACAGTCACACAAATGATGAGAAATAAAAAGGTGGTAGGTTTTTGTGGATGTTTTTTAAAGAGCCCCAAATAAAAGCATCCAGTCACGTGTGTGTGTGATCCTGTTATTTTGTCAGCAGGATTTTTTATGGCAGTATAATGGAGAAAATTCAGATGTTTTTGAGATACATTGATAAAATAAACAATTAAGCTGTTTAACGGCTGTCAGACATTTATATACAGTGTATGAGTATAACCTACTTTTTTACTCCAATATTGATTGATTGACATGTTTTCGATTCGAGCTTTTCTGAACTTTTCAACAAACCTGAGACACGCAGTCATATCCGGGGTGCATTCGAGTCATGTTTGATATCTATCAATACTCTATTTTGAGTGCCGGTGTATATTTTCGATTAGAATTTGTTATCTTTGGCGTTACCTGTCCTTCCATCGCGTCACATCCCGGCACTTGTCTGAGCTTGGCGCTCACATACAGCACTTCCTCCTCTGCGAGGATCTCCTGCATGTCACTCAACAGTTACAGAGATGTCATACATGATATGTAACCTGTGCACATGTTTCTGCTGGAGCTGACACTTTATTTCAGACATGTAAGTTTGAAGGAGTGCATGCTACTGACAAAGTGAGGAAAATTTTAGCAACCTCTGACTTGAAATTGACTTTTATAAATAAATTTTTGCAGCTAGCTACGGTGCTAGCCCTCTAAACCGCAGAGTGATTGGTAAAATTATGTGAAAATATGAAAATCAAACAACTACCGAAAATATAAACGAAAGTGTAAAAACTTGCTCGTGGTAATAAATCTATTTTTTTAACTCAGGAATGCCAAACTTTGAGAATTCAGATTAGTGCAGCATACTTGAGTGGGACGTAAAATCTTCTTTTCAGTAAAAATGGGTCATCGTTATATAACCAGGAAGTAAACTGCCAACGTCCTGCAGCTTGTTTACGGTGACATCTCACTGCTCGGTCGACAGGGTCCTACCAGTGTGTGTCCTTTTTAGTGTGTATGTAGTGCTGGTGTGGCACGGGCCGCCCGACAGCAGCAGCCCTGATCCCTCCTCGGTGCCCCACCTCAGATTAAGCCCTGGATTTGAAGGACAGACTGCTCTGGACAGGACAAGTGCAGCACAAGCAAAGCGTAAGCAAAGCTTTAGAGCACAAGGCCACATTCCAGTGTATCTATCCCTGACAACAAGAACACCACAGTTACAGCTTTTAAAAGAGACATGTCACAGCTTATGCTTCATGTGCCATATACACACACGGGTTTAACCAGGAAAGAGTTCAGGGGCAGCAGCAGTGAGCAGTACACAATATTTACACAACCAGAAAAACACATCGTTGGATCTCTACATTCAGTTTCAGCATGAAAACGATCAAATATTCACAGATAACAAACAGAGTTTTATTACCTCTAAATGTGTTGGCTGAATTCTTGATTCCAAGAGGACGAGTTTCCTTGCGGGAAGCACCAGGAGGTGCTGTAAAGCAGTTAGCCTTTGATAGCACAACACCAGCAAAAACAAACATGGCTGATGAGGGGGGCAGGGCTGACATTAAGATATACTGCTTCAGATAGTTAATAAAACATTAGTGTTGGAGAGGCTTTGGAGCCCAGAGCATCTTTACTGAAAAAAGATCCCCCTACATGTTTTCCCACCTGGGGGGCTGAGAGAGGAGCTGCACCCTGCTATGACCTCAGCTGAAAAATTTAGACTCATGTTCAAACTGCTGTTGTTAGCATGGTAGCTAATACCCGTTTTGCTGTGCTTTGCACTCAGCAGGGCAAACCTGGGGTTGATCTCACTGTACAGCTCCATTAGCTCTCTTTGTTCAGCTGAGATGTCAGCTGGAAATCTGTGTTTATAATTACAAGGCGTCATTAATGGGCTTCAGTTTGATAGTGGGGCCTTTCTGTGTGCCTAAGAGCAAAACAGACCACAAGCGATCACACTTACTATATCAGTGTATTATACTTTTTGATGCCTGCTGTACTCCTCTGCGGCTGAAACTTGACAAATCAATGCAGAGATCGTTTTAGCAAAATGCTCAATATTGTTGGCGAGTGCTGAGGAAATTGTACATTTTCTCCCGCTGTTTCTATTTCTGATACCGTCTGAGAAATAACTTGGATTTCATGTACAATTGGTAAAAAAACAGAAACATAGTCTTCACGTCCCTAAGTTGTGACAGCATTTGCCTTTGTTTGAGCGGCAGGCTGATGGATCAATCAAATATTTACAAGCATAATCAGTAAATGATCGATAGTTGCAGGCTTTTGAGATGTGGTGAAAGTACAAAAAGAATAATATGGATATGCTCAAGTTGTGTAAAAGTACCTTGAGTTTCCTTACCAGTGTTTTGGCTAATATTTCATGTATGTGTGTGGTCTCAGTATCCCTTTTTTGATAGGGTTAAAAGTCATTGAAACAGAGGGGTTTTCAGCATGCAAACCGTAAGATCCTCTATTTACATTTTTGTCAGTAAAGTTCCACATTCAGTCATAAATCAAAACAGGTTTTTAAGAGAATACTGCACTGTCAAATACTGCTTTGTCAAAGTGAAAAGTGTCTCAAGTGTGGGCATATGCAGCTTCAGTTTCATATGTGCATTTAAAGTGAAGAGATGGAGAAAGTATTGGGTTTCACAGGTGGAGATTAGAGTGATTGACGGCAGTGAAACTGTTCTGATAGTTTCGTTTCAATGGTTTCGTTTCATCAAGTCCAAGACTAGGCAGAGCAGAAAGTGCTAAACTAAAAGACGAAGCGAGGCGACCTGGTCCTCCTTCGTCCTCATGTGAAGTGCTAAACCTCACCCTGACTTTGTAACGCTCGAGCTTGTGAGTCACAACTGTGAAGATATAATGTTATTTCAACCCAATCTGTCACCAAATGGAGTGAAAAAAAAAGAGCTTGCCAAGTGCACAAATCTAACATCACCACTTATGAAACACACACTTCCACAAACACACACACACACACACACCTCCTCATCCTCATGTCATTACACTTGCAGAATCGCCAATTAATAAAAAGTGATTTTTGTGGAGTTGTTGTTATCAAAGGTCAGGATTGACATTCAGGAGTAAGTGGCACAAGTATCAACACTATCAAATGACTTAATCTGACACAATCGTTCAAATAATTAGCTCCCACAGCTGCCAGGTCATTTCAGATGGTAATGTGACGGAAAAATCTGAAAATATTTTCTTGATGTGCTAACATAGTTTAATGAATAATTTCTCAGCGATGAACATCTCGACATATCTCTTGGGTCTGAGCTGTTGCCTCAGCGCGTGACCCACTTTGCCTCTTAAACGCACAAAAATCGTCGCTAATTTTGACAGCTCAATATCCAACCCCTAACAAGTCTACCACCTTCTGCAGCTTTATTGAGGATGGTGACAGACAAGGAGCACTGGCATGTTGGTGCCCTGATGGTGCCCAGGTGGTGCTGAAAACGCGTGCTGCTCTACGCCAAGAAAAGATGGATGATGGATGTTGCCATGTAGGGCCATGTGCAGACAAGGAAGTTAGTTTTGCATATCATTTCTAACTTCTGTCTTCATGTGGCCGATGATTGGAGGAGTGTTAAGCTCCTATGAGGAACTCAAGGCGTTTGTTGATTTTGGCGCCCCCTATGGACAAAGCAGTACCTCCTGTTTCTTTGCTGATTTTTAAGTGTCTTTTGATAATTATTACCATTTTTTAATCTCACCGTGTTTAATCTCGACAAACAAATGTTGGATTAACTGGAAGTCTCTGGACTGTTTCAGCAGCATGCACTTCTGCCTGTGGTTTTGTCTTACAAAATGACTGTTTAGAAATAGTCTGTCTTCATTCTGATGTTCTGATGTGCCTTTATGGTCCGTATAGAGGCATCGGTATTAATTTCAGTCTGTTTTATAACCAACAAAAACTTCCTTACAGTAGCTTTAATTATGTAAAAGTAGCTGTGCAACACTTGAAATAGTTTACCCAAAAAGACAGCAAGAAGTAGAGTCAGGAAATAAAGGTGTAAAATGAGCATGTTATACTAGATGTATGGCCCCATGTCCTGTTTGCTGTCCTGTGTACCATCATTAGATTGTACCTGTTTGCAAAACTTAACTAAAGTAGAAAATCTGTTCGAGCTGGAGCTTCGTTTTAGCAAAAATCTATCAGCAACTGACTCTGTGAGCTGATATTTTGCATCTCTTCTTCTGGTTTTTCCCCCCTATGAAATATTCAGCAGAAGTTTCTCAAATTAGAGGATTACTGTTTTTGCTTCTTGTTATGTTAAATTGGATAGGATAAACTAATCCACAAAATTGTTGTAAAAACAAGAAAATTTTGGAACCTAGAAGTTGTAATGATGGATATTTTTCAGTGTAGGCTCAACAGTGAATTGGCTTATCAAGAAAATTATCTGCAGATCAAACCAGATCTCGTATATAAATTATCTCTGATTGGAGCTTCAGTAATATATCTAACAATATATACATTTACTTGATCCTCACACAGTCATTGAGAAAGTAGAACAGTACAATCAGATGAAGAAAGTGTATAAGGAGAATAAAAAATTCTCTCTGTCATGAAGTATAAAGAGGAAAAACTCAGAAAAATACCAGCTCAGTCCTTTAAAAATGACCTCAGAGCTGCTCTTTTATGGTCTCTCATTTATGACACGTGTACAATGATGCCCTTTTTTATTATGTGTAAATCACACACAGACAGCAGAAGCATTTTTTCTGAAACCAGGCGCAATAACACAATTTAACGCTATCATATGCTAACACTTTTTTACTTTGGGATTTTCTAATGTGTGTTTCCTGACAGAATTCAACATAGTTTGCATTTTTGTTGCCGTTTTTGTGACTCTTTTTACTATTTCATAAGTGAAACATACGAGGGAAGTGATCCCATAAGCCTGCTCTGTTGGTTTGACTTTGTCTTCTTTGTTGAATCACTCCCGTCAGTTTGTTTAAATCAGCAGGTCTGCGGTATAATAGAGTGGACTAACCCTAAGAACGTTCAGGATATATAATTCAGGCGCATGAATCCAAACTGCTGAGGGAAGCGCCATTTGCAACCTCAGGCCACACCAAGAACCAAATCAACATGGCTGCTGGGCTTGGAAGAATAATAATAGTCTAAGAGAAAAAGTTATATATTGGCAAAATGAGACTGGCACAGAATGCGGGGCGTGCATGTAGCAGTGGGCCGCTCTATAAAGACATCTGCTGATTACTCAGTTTGGGGAGGCCTGGTGGAGAGGAGCCTGGCAGAGAAATGTGTAAAGAGATTGAGACCACACGACGACTGCTGAAAGAACACAGCACTGGGAGCCTCACAGCCAGTCGCCGTGAGCATGAAGCCATAAAGACGTGAAGCGAAAAGTTTTACACAACAAGAGGACCTGGGCTGCCCAGGGTGGAAGAAGAATATCAGGCCCCTAAAATCCAGTCAAGGGCTTTCACTCTTTTTTCAGGCATGCACACAAGTATCCAACAAAGGCCTGATTTAATATAGAGCATAAGAGAGGAAAAAAATCCTCTTTCTTGACCGTACATGCTCTGAACATACGTAGATCACATGGCCGCCCTTCACCTCCCGAAAGATGGTGGCAAATTGGTGTCTGTCTCAGCTGACGTGACAAGCCTGCATACAGGTCTGCCTGTGTCTGCTCTCTGTGTGGCAGGAGAAGACAGAGATCTGCTTAAGGTGGCCTGTGTGCTGCAGAGCGTTAGCCCCCCAGGGAGACGGAGCCACAACATGGCACCCTGAGCCTTCTGCCTAACAGGGCTAGATCTCTGGACTCTGACAACGCCCCCACAGCCTTCTGCCACGCTCCTTTTAGAGTCCATGTTAATCAGTTCCTCTGTTGGCACCTATGTAGCGCTGGTTACCTACACTGTAATGCAGTTATACACCTTTAAAGTTGACCAAAACACATGAGAGCGATGACAATCTAAAGCATGCACATATTGGAAATTATTGCAGCTTAAATATGGAGAAGCATTTTTAGTCTGAAATATTCTGACTAATGCAACAAAACAATTTCCATAGATTTATAATTGACTGTTTTTGGTCCCACGGCTCCATAAGACTCAAGTTTGGATACGTATCTCTGGTTAGATCCACACAGGCTCCACAACTGACACACAGATCCAGACCCAGAAACAGACGGACCGGAGAGAGTCAACTATCAGTTCTTTTATCTTTTTTCTTTCATCACATGTCTATAAATATTGGCTGGAACAACCTTTCCTCAGTGGGCTTCAGGTACTTTTGTTTGGCGGGAGCGCTCATTTCGACTGAGCCCAGTGTTATTTTTAAAAGATGGCAATCTGAAACTGCTTTTTAATTTGTGACTGGGCGACTGTAAGTAGTTTTTGTCTGAAGATAACCTGATTAGAAAAAAAAAGGGGTGTTGTCTCTTAATTGAAGCTTATCGCCAAATAATGGTTAACTTGGGCTCAAACAGTACTGGGGCGACGTGTTTGCTTTTAGCTTATATTTCATCAGGACATCTTAGGGCATCTGGTTCTACCTCAGCCTGTCCATATGCGTCCCTCTGATCATGTTTAGCCAATGCGTCCCGCGTGTGTTTTCCCTAAGCCTCCTCTCTCTTCCTGACCTCTCACCCCGGCTCCTTCTTTTTTGCTTTGTTGTGCAGGTCAGAGTCCATGCACCCACGCCCGCGCAGCCGCATGGCCACGTTTTGGTATGCAGATCCACAGACGCAGGTAAGTCTGGTCCAGGTGCTCCCTGCGGTGATGCTGACCTATTCTGAATCACCTCACAGCTCTCAGGTCAGACCCAGGGCCCAGCAGGCTCCCAGCGCAGGTCACAGAGGGCCTCAACATCCCTGAGATGAGACTGGAGACTGGCATGAAGAGGAGCGTTTGATGTGGCCCTGAGCTGGGCTATGTTACCACGTTACTATGGCTTTAATTAGCTCCAGCAGCTGCTGCTTCCTGGTTGGCAAACTCCACTGTCTCTGTAATCTCTTACAGGTGACTGTCAGTTGCATGTCAACATCTTTAAGTCCGGTTTTAGTGCTTTACAAAGCTACATCTCTGCTTACCAAGCTAATTAACAGTGAAGTGACTGTAGACAGAATTTGAATGAAGAAAAATAAAGAGCTGGCGGTGCTGTAATGACCACAGCATGTTTCCAAATATGTTATGCAAATATGCCTCTGAGCGCCAATCCCCTGCCCATTGTTTGTTACAAGTTGCATGTCTGTTTCCAAAGGAAGCAATCATGATAAAGAGACGGCAAAGTTCTCCTGGTGACAGTAAAAGTGTCACTCTGCGTTCTTTATCTGGATTTCCAGCGTGCACAAAGACATCTTAACCACTGGAAATTACCCTCCGAGGGCTGACAGACAGAAATTGATCTCAGATTAGATGAGCGCACCTCGTTCCCGGCTCCCCTTTGTCACTCCCAAGTTGGTGGATCTTTCCTTAAAACTGCACCAAAGATGAAAAAAGAGAGACTTCACAGCTGGCTATGGCATACTAATACCCTGGACTCATTAAATTAATGGGGGCCAGATTCCCCTCACTGAATGTGCACTGATGCCCTTTGAGTTTGCCGGGGCTAGAGGCTGTGCAGCACTTTGAAAGCCCTGACCGGCATATTGAACGTGTTTTAATAGAAGCCTTTTGAGACTCCTGGTAGGATGCACACTAACTCTTTGCCTTTAAGTTCCCGCACCTCTTCGTATGATCTTGCCAGATAGCCACTCTATCCTAGGATTCAGGCCTGGAGAGGGGGGGAGGGGACGGTGCGCGTTAAATGAGGCCAGAGGTGTCCATAACGCAGCAGAGGCCATTCTTTCCTGGAGATGTGGATCTTTCAGATGCGGTGCTGAGCCGGCTTTGATGTGGAAAGGTGCTCAGCGTAGGACTGAAACAGGAGGCTTACGGGCCGACATTAGTGGGATTCCCTTCAGGGAAGAAGGGGAGAAGGGAGTCTGGACGAGCATTGGACAGTCGTCTATTGAGTTGTTGATTTAATTACTTCATTCTGCTTTTACCTACACTCTGAGGCTGCACTGTAAAACTGATACAGTCCCACTTATGGCCATTATGGGAGTCGTTTAAGTGAGAAGAAATCACTTTATTACAAAGGAGAACCGCTGGAGCATCCAGTGGAGACGTTTTCATAGCCAAAGGTAGCAACAGGAGAACTTCAGGGTTTAAAGGGTAAAGAAAGATATTGTTTTTAATGGCAATACATTGAATAACTCTCAATTTAATGGGGGAAATAGAATATTAATATAAAAATTTTGCATATTTGCCCGACAGCAAAAAGATGAAGTGATAAGAAAAGAAAGCAAGTGAATTTGCATGACAAAAAAGTCCCCTTTAAAGAACCAATTCATCCCCCTCTTACCATTAGAACCACAATACCGGATGTTGAGATAGGGAGAATTTATCACCGACGAAATTAATACATTAGGTGATTAATTTTTTAGCTTTAGTGCTTTTAATATTGATACAGGAGAGAGATATCGCTGTCTTTGCCCCCAGCTGAAAGGACATCTTGATTCCCTTCAGTTCTGCCCTGTCATCTTGCCTTCATGCTCTTGAGCGCAACAAAAAACATGGCTGACATGATGAGATTATACACAGTCAGGAGAAGAGGTAGCAGGGCTCATCCTTTAAACGCCGTCTGCTGAACGAGACAAGTAGCTGGCATCTACAGGACAATAGTGACAGGAAGACGCCAGGAGATGAGACTCTAGCTGCCAAATAAAGTGAATAAACAGAAATCCAGTGGAGCTAAAAATGGCTGACTCAGGTGTACCGCAGAGGAAGCATCAAATCTTACCACGATACGCCTCTCTTTCTCTCTCTCTCTCTCTCTCTCCATCTTCGCTTTTGCGTGTGACAAAACAGCGCCATATACAGTACGCCTTACAGAAACTCATGTCGGGCAGTCATTGGTCTTCACGGTCATCTCTTGACAGTAATGATTTCACAAAGCCTTTGATTTTGAGCTTGATCACCGTGGCTGCAACATGGCTGGATATCGCTCCTCATTAGCGATTCCATACGCAGAGAGCGACACGATGCTGCTGTTAGCCACTCGTACTTACATGCCGCCTACTCCAAAGTGTGCCGGTAATTTATTCTCCCTCCCCGGTGCTCATCATCATCATCATCATCATCATCATCATCCTGATGCAAGTCACACAGTGACAGGACTCCATCTCTACGGTACATTGCAACAAAGTGGGAGGAGGGGTAAAGGGAAGGAGGGATCACGTATTTTGCGAAACACAAAAGACGGTTACTAGGCAGGTTTCGAACATTGGTTACCACTGCTAGAACATCCTGTGACACCAAAATAAGAGCGAGAAGGTAAAAAACTGGAGAGATCTGATCCAATGTAAGCCATCTTTTTCTCTGCCAAAAGTTTTTTTTTTTTTTTTCGTTTTTTTTTCTCAGAGTGCAGCTTAAGCACTTCAAAGTTAAGGAGTATATAGAGAGTATGATTCATTTGGCAGCTCATATTGTCCAGCTTCAAAAAAGGAAAAAAAAAAAAAAAGCTAAAGCTAGCCAGAGACACACTGTGGGCTGTTTTCAGCTTCAGAGGAGAAAAGAGAAAGAATTTGGCTTGAGCTTATAGGCCGCCCATCCCCAATCCAGAGATGGGCTCTTTTTCATCTTATCGTGGTCTTTGCGTGTTGGTGTGGTGACTATGTGCTTCACAGGTGGGAGTCTGCCTCTGTCAAATAAGCCAGTTCACTAAGGACGGGATTTGCCGCTGTTATTTTTCTATTAGGGAAGAATTATGCTAAGCCCTTAGAGGCCATCTTTGTGTTGCTATGGCAGCCCATATTTCCTACCGGGTTGAGACCTTGAATGACTACAGTGCAAAGCCAAGTAGCCCCCAAAAACCCCCTTTGAGGATTAGAAGCAGGGTCTCATAGTTATGCTAAACACCTCTGATATGATTGAACCTTGAATAGTTGAATAACAAAGTTTATTGAGATTGCCTCTCTTTTCATCTGATTATAATCATTTGATTATTCCCAATCACTTGGCATGGCTTCAAACGCTGCTTTTCAAATGGCTTTGTTTGGGACAACACTGACAACTTTTTTTTTTCTACCATGTCTACAACCTCGTATCTCTGAATATTAAACAAGAATGCACGATTCATGTTGTCAGATATTGAACACAAAGGCATTTATGTTGACCAGAAATACAGTTTAAGGCTTTATTGTTGAGCATTAGGGCGCATTTGATGATTCGTTTACCTCATGTAGCCCTTACTTTACATTAATTGATTGTTAAACGCATATAAATCATTTTTTCATGCTCGTTACTGATTAATGTTCCTTTGATTTGAAACAAACAAACAAGGCATCACTTTTCAACACCTCGCAGCACCCTGTTTGTGCAGCCTTCAATAATCATTCAGTTTGCAAAACTGTCAATTAACTTTCTATTGACTTGATCAATCAGGTAAATCTTTTGAGCACTAATTGTGGTCAAATCGAAGTGCTTTTTCCACAAAAAGGAAACCACTTTCTGCTCACTCTGGAGGCTAAATCAGCAGAATTAGGAAATAGAAATAAAAAAAACTGTATTGTCATCATGCAAAGAAATTAAGAAATGTTTTCCCTTAAATGCAGAATAATCATGCACCCTCAATAACAAAGCAAACGTTTTTTCAGTAGAATAATGTTTATTGTGAAGTAAATAACGCACATAGCATGGTACATAATGTATTTTGCACAAAAATATGTCAATTTCATGCTGGATCATGTTTATTTCACAGTGAAAAGCATGAATTTCACAGAGGATCAAAGTACAATATATTGCACAATAAATTAAGTATGTTGCATGCTGAAATATATATGTATATATTGCATGGAAGATAAAATTATTACACAGTAAATTATGTGAGGAAAATGTATTGCATGATGAATAATGCATATTGCACAGTAAAATGTATAGTATGCCAATAGCTAATATAATATACAATATAATGCAATGTATATAATCTTTAATACACAGCATGCAAAATAAATTTTGGATTATATTGACTTTAAATTATGTAATTATTACATGTGAGGATATGGTTATTTATTTAATGGTAAATAGTGTATATTATACATAGAAGATCATGTATATTGGATGGCAAAAATACAGTATATTGCATGACAAAATGTGATGCACAGTAATAAGAATATATTTTTGTTAAACTATAGATAGATAGATCGATAGATAGATAGATAGATAGATAGATAGATAGATAGATAGATAGATAGATATTGTTGAATTGTAAACAACATACAGTATATTCTCCACTAGAGAGTTTACAGTAAATTTTGAATAAATTTATAAAGAAAATCTCTCATTGGATGCTGCAGATGTTTTGGACTTTGTCATTTTCATCTTATACCCCCACATTCTTTTTCTCACACATGCTCCAGATTTATTTGAACCGTCAGATGCGATCTTTGTTCATGAGAGCAATTCCTCGAATCACAGGTCAAATTTCCTGTTCAGCCTAATCAATACGAATTCTTCCTCCTGCTTTAGATTTTGTCATAGTACTCCCAACTGTTTTCAGAGCGGCCATGAAAGCCTAAGCTCCATTCGCAGACATGTATAGACAGCTACTCAAAGCTGACACAGAGATGAGGCTTTGAGAGAACGAGATTGACACTATTGTGGTCACAAAGCACAACAGGAAACTACTTTGATGAGGAAAGTGCTTTGAGTATCGGATTTCACTCGCCAAACATTGGCCGAAGACAAGCCAGAGTATTAGACGTATTGAATCGGCGAACATTGGACAACAAAAAACCAGACATGTGCACCATAAACGCCACTTCTGAGAGGACGTCCAAACAGAAACATGGGAAGGTCAGAACTCCCATGAAAGCAGACATAAACATGACAATGAGTTTTCTGATCTGGAATTTGCTGCACACTTCCTTCGACTTGTCTATCTTGGGAGGTTTCAGGCGAATGATGCAAATCTAAAGTTGACAATATATCCAAGTGAAACGTACTTTTTTTTTTTTCTTTTACCTCATGAAATAAAGTGCCGCTATCAGAGTCATGTCTT